GGGGGGGGGGGGGGGGGGGGGGGGGGGGGGGGGGGGGGGGGGGGGGGGGGGGGGGGGGGGGGGGGGGGGGGGGGGGAGGCTATGGGCGAACTTCGATGGCTTAGGGATTTGGATGGAGAGAGAAGAACAATGTACATAAATCAAGAGTGACAGATTTGTGGATTCTCCTTAGCGCGGGAGACGGCTTCGGAACCATTCCAAGAACAGCCGAGAAGCAGTAAGAAGTGTCCCGAAACCTGCAGAAGAACAGTGATACGTGTACCTTGACTCGTGATAAAGAGAAAAAAGGAAACAAGTGCTCACTTTAAAAGCCCCATTCTTTCCATTGCCACACAAACTTGGGATCTGCGGTAATGGACCAAAAGGAATGAATTAAATCACTACGTGTATTGGAGCGTTTGTCTTTAAAATTTCACGTAAAAACAACGGTAGCTTTATTCCAACGACGGAAAAATACCACGAAAAATTTAACTGAACTGACGAAAATCAGGCTGAAAATGTTTAAGTATGTTACTCGTAGGAAATGCCAGTGCCTCTTGAGGCTCCTCCTTTTTTTCGGATTCTGGAAGGTAATTTTGAAATATGTCTAGGCAATTTTGAACCGGGACGCCCAGTTTATTCTGAAAACCCTTTCTCAGGCATCTCCATTCGCTCCTCCCTTTTTTCATTAGTATATGTCCTAATTAGGTTTGAGCATCATGCAATGCGAAAATAGCCGAATGAAACCGTGCCAGACCAACATTAAGCTCTGCATTTGCAAAATTAAAATTTAGCCTCCTCTCTCTCGCTCTCGGTTCGTATCTTTTTTTCTCTCCCTCTAAAAATTCGAATCGACGGGCAAATGACCCCTAGCATTCGCTCGTTACTATGTTATTATTTCAGAAACACAGCCTCAATGGTAGCTTAAAAGCTCTCGTGAAAGTATATATATTTGATGTTCCTTGGGGAATGGGGGTTGGGGGACGTTAAAAGCCTGAGCCAACGCAACGCGAGCCAGCCGTCTGTTTCTTCATTTTTTTTTACTGTTTGCTGTACCTTTCCATCCCTTGCTCTTAATTGCGCGTAATCGCCAGTAAAGCGAGGTCCAACTTTAGTTGGACTGAAAAAAAGAAGAGTAGCTGGGTACATATTCAATTTTCTCTGAAAATTAAGGGCTAGCTTCATCATTAGAAGGGATGATAAATTTCATCGTTCACTGGCTTTGCTCGTCGCCACGGTCATCGTTAAAACTACCCGAGAGAAAAATTATCCCGACGAGGATTAAAATAAACCTGAAGGCAAAAAGTATCTGAAAGCACTTTGTTACAATCATTCTTTTCTGATCATTTGCGTAGAGGAGGAAGAAAATGTGATAATTTAATTCTGAAAATCCTTATTTTTGCAAGAGATTAAACATTTTAATTCTTAACATCCACTTAGTGGGAAATAAAGTCTTCGTAACTAAACTAATTATAACCGATTTTTACCGTTTATTTACCTTTTTTATTTTAATTATTACTCTTTTTTTTCTTACCCGATGTTTTCGACGAAAATTGAATATTTCAAAGAGTCTTATAACCGTTCAAAAATGCATAGATTATTCATTGACTGTTTTGATGCTGATAGTACATCTGATAGTACTCTGCTGATAGTGACATAAGGCATAAACAGTTAGTTAGACAAATGGTTTGTTCAAGAACGAATGAAGGCCAAAAACTACATTTTTACTCATTTGCACTCATGTTGTAATATTCATCATCGTTCCGGAAGACCGAATAAAGTGTAAGGGACCGTGAAATAGACCGTTCAAGTGAGTAAAAATTTAGCTTTTGACTATCTAATTATTTAGATTTTTATTCTTACATCTCAAAAACATCTTTTCTTTTTGATTTTCTTGATTTTTTTGTTCCTATTCCCGCACACAATTTTTCAATCACACAGTTTTCTCTTCGCATTTTGTTTTATGTGTTGGGGTAGAATGAATTGATTATTATTTTTGCATAGCTTTGAATGAGCAAATTCAATAATTCCACTAATGATCAATTTGCTATGCACTGTCTGCTATAAACAACGACGCATTCCACCTTCCCCAAACTTTTATATTCTAGAAATCAAGAAATTTTTTTTATGATTCACAGGAATAAGAATGCTTAGCAAAATGACACTCAACGAGCATAACTTTCGGCCATCTTGAAAAAAATACTAAAGGAAACGCTATACTTGCAATATGCTGCGGATTCTGACGCAACGTCATCCGTCAATCTGAAACTAAAATGCGGTAGAGTTGAGGGACCCATGAGTAATTCTGTCCTTTTCTTTCAAAACCGTCCGCGCCTGCTGGAGCACAACTCCAACAAGTTTACGTAAAGTTGAACTTCGTTGAGCCGGCTTAAAGTTTAATAAATTTTTGACTTCTTTAGAGGGGGAAGAGAAAGAAAAGAAAAAACCCCCCTTTAAACTTCATGTCAAGCTCTCCAACGCGGTGCCGAGCACCAACTCAATAATAAAATCCACGCATCGCGCCACAGAGACGTCCGTCACAACGCACGATTGCCCAAGGTACGGATTGAAGGCGCGCTACGCAATTACTCTTATTACGCAAATTCGGTACTTGGCCTATAACCTAATCTAATTAGTTGGAAATCCAATCGGATGGGTGAGGTTAGGTGAGGTACTTAACTCGCTCGCTATGAAGTCCGTCCCATCGCGCGCACTGCTGTGTTACCGAAGAGAGCAGCACTGCTGCCGTGCTAAGGAAAAACGCCATATGAACATTTGAGGGTTGCCAGATTTCCTTCAGTAAAATGTTTATTTTTGAGGAAAATCATGAATATTTTTTCTTGAAATTTTCAGGAACTTTAGGCGAAATTGCAAACAAAATTATCAGAAAAATTGGAAGAAAAATATGCGTAAATAAGCCAGGAAATTCGTGTTTTATAAATGGAAATTTGGCAACGCCTGGAGGTTCATACGGCGTTCTCCCTTAGCACGGGAGAGTAATGCTTAAATTTTAGAAACAAAGTTTCCTTCAAAATTTGTCTGATCTAATTTTGATGAACTCGCTGATTCAGCTGAAACAGCAAAATTTGTATTATTTGTAAGAAAAAATGAATCCATCGAGAAAGCAGTGAGCGCGTAAATATTTACTTTGTTCCACGCAAAACAGCAGGAAGGCATTCGGTATTATTCCACCGGAAAGTGTGCTTTTTGAATAAAATGGTGCATTCTTCCATCACTTCCTACCCTTAAAATTATTTTTTTGAGTGTTTAAAACTCGATGGCGAAAGTATGTATAGAAAACAGCAATCACGACTGTTTTACCTGACATGCAACTGAAAATGGAATTCGTCGATTTTTTAACCACTCAGACGCTTTCTGGGAATCTTTCGGATGATTGGTGGCAACTTTACAAAGGACGGAGCCTTATTTTCCCATACAATTTTCCCTCTAAACCAACAATGTCCATTAGCTCAAAACTTCATTTTTGCACCTGCCGCTCTCTTCGGCGCCATGTCTCACAAATATAAACTGCTTTTTCAAAAAAAGTGAAAAAACTTTAGAAAATCAACCTCGCGGTGCTTTATGGCAGCAGATACGCAGTTTTAAAAAGGAGGACATAATGACGCATGTCTTAGTGCACTACACGGCAAAAATACATCATAGTATATCCATATGGCATATGGCACCACGCTGCATCTGTGCCGCGTCGCACAGGATTTTTTCCCCTCGGTCTGGATTGTATCATCGAGATCTGTAGCGCACATTGCACCGTGGATTCTTAAGGTTTCGTTTAAGAGCGAGAAAAGTTTAAAAGAGGCTAAAAGGGCATGAAACAACAGCGAGGATCTGGATTGCAAATTTTAGTCGGTCTGGAGGGAAGCAGCGTAAATGAAACAGTGAGGCTCTGAGTGAAGCCACTAATGAAAATGAAATAAATAAGTCGGTGTGCGGTTTTAGGAGTGGTCTAGAATTTTAATCGGAATTATTCTAATTTGAGGATTGAGCGAGCACCACGGCGGAGCCCCCCTCCCCCCCCCCTTCGCCCGCCGGCGTAACCGCTTCAGGGATGAAGAAAATGGAGATACTCCCTGCATATCTCGGTGGTTGCGTTATCGAGTTGAGTGAATATTGCACAATCCATGGTCCTAAATGAAAGAACTTGGTACATTTCGAACTTCGATTGTTTCGAGATTGATATTTTAGCGTCTCGCGTGGAGGTTTGTGCGCTTCTGGTGTACTTACGGTCCGACACAGTATTGCTAATTGCGGTGGATTTGATTCGACCATTTCTGACTACTCGAGTTCTTTATGCAAATAACTTCCTCCCCTTTCTTGATAAAGTCCTCGGTTCATTTCATCCCCGGCGCTTTGAGGAAGAAAGAAGTTCGGAATGAAAAAGCGCCCAGCGGCACCGGTTTGTTACTTTAAGTGTGACCTACCTTTTTGATGGTCGTTAATTAGAACTGGAAAGCTCAACGCCGAGCTACGAACTAGAGTCGTTGCATGCAAGATTAGGAAACGATTCATTTCTTAAAACGAACCTCTTTGTTCCGCTCTCCTGACCATTGAGATAAGTTTAAACGTATGCAGACACACATCAGCACTCAGAATTTACCTGCTTTCTTTTGAGTGCAGGTAGTTTCTTTTAACCTGTTAACGGCTAAATCGCAGCGACGAACGATGCGACTTATCGCGCACCGGAGTGCTCGTGTAGTATACCCCCCAAATTGAAGGCAACTAAGTTGCCTTGTGAAAACGCGATATCGAAAATGGACACCGTGACGAGAGAAAAAATTGTTTGATCAATTTGTTACCGGGAAAACTCCGGAAAAATTTTCAAACAAAATATGACTGCATATCTTCATTTTGCCGAGCTGCTGGTAGTCACCTTAAATATAAGCACTTCTAAGTTATTTTGATGCGTGTTTTTGTTTTTATTTTTTCGTCTGAAGGAAGTTGGCTCTCTTCTTCAATTCAAATTGATGCGACGTCAATCGGTAAACTTCTTAAACTTGAATATCGGAGCATAAAAATTATATTCTAGAGTAGCGTCCTCAGCTCGAGGTAAATGCTGTCCGACTTCATTCGAACCTACTGCACTCACTCAACTTTTCTAAAAGTTTCGGTTTTCCTTTCTGTTAAATTCAGTTCGACTGTGTTAACTTTCGCGCTAATGCAATGCGTGGAAGGATACGAATAAGGATGAGAGGAACAATTCTGGGTTCTCGATTCCTTTTAAACTTTTTCTACGGGAGGAAGCCTCGACGTGTGGTTGACCCATTTATCTGGGCTGGAGTAACTTGATTCAACTACTCTTTTCACGCGTGACTTAAATTTTATCTTCTAATCTCTAGATTTTACGGCTGACGAGTTTCCGGATAGGATAGTTCACCTTGCATATAAGCCTTAATTGGTTTTTTCGCCCCAGGCGCTCCCATACCGATGAGGGAAAATTGAGCGGAAAATAGGGCAACTCAAAACAAGAGGAAAAGTCGAATGTGGTAATGGATCGTATTCGATACATCAAACAGGTGAGATTGTATCGATATCAATTGGTTCAACATGTAAACATAGCCTCAAAAGTCAACTCAGTAGTGATCTGAAGAAACGGGTTTTTTGTGAAAGTTTTTTTTTTATTATTATTATTCTTATGAGTACAATGTGAAAATGGAAAGTGATGTCGTGACAAATTTTCTTATTTTCAGCTTTTCCAACTTACATCCTAAAATTTTCGTTTGAGGTTCAGATGATGAAATCACGAAAGAATTTCAGACCCTCTTGATTCGCCATTAGTGACTTTTAAACCATTTGCCATAAAATTATAAAACACTTCTTTTCGCTCCAGCAAAAATTTACAACAGAGCCAATTGGACTACATTTGGACGTATTTATGCTATAAGGAACTATGTTCATAGGAATTGCTTAAAACATAGTTCCTTTTAGCATAAATAAGTCCATTTGCGATTAGGAGCTACAGTTTCCGGCTCATTGTCAGATCAGAAACAACGCACGTCCCATTAGATTCCCCATACACGTAAGAGCTTTTACGGATGAGCCGAAACTTGGAGTTCCTAATTTACAAAATGTACTCCATCGTCAAACAGGCTTAGTAGAGTACCTATATTGAGAGAGTATGGCCACTGGGCCACATGGAGAGGCTTAGGACCCAAAAATGGCGGTGCTTTGTTTTGGTTTTTGTAGATGGGAAGGGTGTCATTGCCAACTTTTGACGGTTTTCACCAACCGCACTTGCTGCCAACCTTACTACATCTAAGATAATTTTTCTCAAAAATTGCAGACGATTAGCCTTAAAAATATGTAAAGAAGTTGCAATAGTGCATTTGGGCAAATTTCTCGTTACGATAAGCAAAGAAAACTGCATTTTGAGTCATTTTGCATCACATTAATTTATGGCGTCCGCCATTTTTGGGTCCTAAGGGCTCCATTCAGCCTAAGATGGCTGAGCCAATCAGAGGTGGTAACACCAGTGGCCATGCTCTCTCAATATAGGTACTCTAAAGCTTAGTACATTATTTTGGGCCATTGAAATCAGAAACAATCCAAACAGTTAGGGAATAAAGTTGAGTTCATTCTCCAGCATGGCCAAACTTTCGGTTCCGCGTCACGACCGAACCCGCGAATGAGACGATTATCCGGCCGGTCAGGAAAAGGGCTAGGGAGCGCAAAACAAATTCATCAAATACTCCTCCCTGCCTCATTTACAAGCGCTTCAATCTCGAGTCTAGGGAGCCCATCCCCCATCCCTCGTGCGCGCATCGCGAACGGATTAATCATAATTTAACGGTTTATATCAGAAACAGCGTAAGCGTCGCGCAGATACGCTGGCCTCCGGGGCACTTGCGCGCTTCTCCGCATAAGCCGCTCAATCATCGATATCATTATCGACAACACTCGCCGGAATTACACGATGTTTATTTTTCTCGGAATGCGCATAATAGGATTGCTAATAGCGTCCGTTTGATTGCGGCGGGGAGAGGGCGGGGGGTTGGAAGTTGGGGATGCGAGGGAAACGGCACGGGTTCAGATCTCAGCTGCGAATCTCCGCTATCATTTCATGCAGGGTGGAAACTCAAAACTTTTACCCCTGCGTGTAAACGAAGCGTATCGGTTTACACCCCTTCCTCGCTCTGTCCGGGGTTTTCGGGTGAAAATATATCATCCGAGCGATAATACAGCTCAAGCTACCGGCACGATTCGAGAGCCGGGATAGAGACTATTGAGCTCTGATATATTTAAATTCTTGAGCAGAAACGTCAGGGCGGAGGGTGTGAGCAATACTGATAAAGTTAAGACGAGCGAGGGAGCTTTTTCAAATTCCTCCTTCGCTCCCCTGTTCGATAGGGGGAACCTATGGAAAAGAGGAACATCTCAATCCACTGACAAACAAAAAGAGGGAAAAATCATCGAGTGCTCCCGTAGTATAGAGGCAGAGGCATGTCTGCTTCATGCCAATAGAATCTCAATGGCTTTTTCTTACCCTGGAAAATACTTAAATCGACGAAACTAAGACAGTATTTTGTTGAGCAACACTGTCATAAAATGTCTAAATTTTCCTAGTAGAGTATTTTCAAAAAAATACTATTGGAATTTTTTTTAGATAAAATATTTCCTAGGAACTCATTATATGCATATTTAAAGAATATAGTCGATAAAAGCTAATTAGTCGATAAAAGCTAATTACTAATTAATGCTATAACAATGTATCATATTTCTGTATAAAGAAGTCGATATGTAATAAAATAAAAAAAAATAAATAAAAAATATTTAAAGAATATTATGAAAGTCCGAGTTTAAAGTTCATTTTTAAAAAAATATTTCTGTTCAAAACTTGAAGACACAGTCAAAGTGATGAATAAATTTAAAAGGAAAAATCGCAAAATATTTGAAAATACTGAATCAATGCCCCGGGAAGACTCTCCGAGTTCATACTGTCTGTAAGTGTCTTACAAATACTGAAAAAATATTCTATATGAGGACCTTCCCTACCAAACAGCTTAAACGCGTATAAGCTGTTTGCTCGGCAATTTGCGATCAAGATAACTCATACCCTGATAAGGTACCCCTTCAATCTTATGTCAATAGCTGCAAAATAGTGGGGGATATGATTTTTTTTTTGGTGCCCAAAAGTTGACCTCTCGGTGGATTTCCGAGAAAACAGCTTATACGCATATGCCTTTGCTGGGAAATTTCGTTTACAGTGCATCAGTGCAATCACAACATTAGTTCCACTCCTCTCTGCGTTTCATTAGTTTGTCAAAAAATTGTTCACCAAAACTAATTCATACATTTCCTCATTTATTGCTGACTATCAAAATTAGATTATGCTTTAGCGTAGATACCTTATTGTAATTAAAAAACTTGTAACTGCACAGAGATTCTCCACCTTGTGAAAAATCTTACGATAAGATGAGAAAGAGGAGAGTAGAGGCTGTAGAATCTCAACTAAATTCAAAGTCAATCTTGAAGAGAGAAAAAATTAATTATATCTTGACAAGCATACTTATAGCTTACGTGTGTGCCTTGTGTCCTGTGTAATAAATACGAAGAAGTATAATTTAATTTCGTCCCCTAAAGTAAATTCACTCCCATTTAAATATAGAACCACAATTCTACAAATAACTTTGAATTATTTTGGACTTGCATAGGTACTTAAATATTTTCTCTAATTTATATTTAAATAACGTCGCTTATGAAATTGTTATAAACCATTTTGAACGTGGCATATCTCACGAATAAAAATGTGTTTATAAGAGGTAATTTGAGGTGCTCATTGACTAAGTTGGGAAGTTTTTGATTGTAATATCTGGTAAAAAAAAAAACTTCATATAAAAATTTAAACGTAAGTGTTTACTAGCGTTTCAAAATTTTTAACACCCTGAAAGTAGGTAGGTACGCTGGGCAATATTTCTCTAAATGCATTGGAGCGTAATTTATAAATCTCCTTCTCTAAATTATACCGAATTTCATGAAAATCAAATTTACATTCAAAATTTCCGTGCCGTAGGTAAAGTTAAATAAGTGTCCGTTACCGTTTTATATATTAATATATGAACTAAAAACGAAAGATGATTAAAATTCTATGGTTGGTTGGATTCATATATTTTATCATTGATTCATTTGTAGGAGTATGCATATTTTTAATTGATATTTTTAGTACGTAACTTGCGATAAAAAATATAACTGAACAGGTAAGCAAGTATCTGTTGAAGTTAATCGAATTTATTTGACTCAAAAGCGTCCGCGCGAGACTAACAAGCTACTGGGAAAGAAAATAAAGATCATCGCAGAACTTTAACTTTGAACAAGAGATAAAGTAGATCATTAAAATTTGCAATTCAAACATTTAAAGGCCAGTGTGTATAAATAAACTAATGAGTAGGTAATAATTTAAATACCTTAATAAAACTTGAATAGATAGTAGATGGATACATGTATTGAATTTATTCGAAAATGTTATCCGTTCATTCATCATGTCACCCGACCAAGTGTTACAAAACCAAAACCAAAACCTTGCATTTATTCAGTTCAAAAGCGAGAAAAATAGGATGAGTCTCTCAAAGACAAAAACGATAAGGACGTTCGAACGTTCATCCGAAAATGCGAGGAGCTAGTTAAATATTGATACTGAGAAAATAAGTAAATTATTGATCGCAGACAGAATCATGTTGCACTGTGAGCAATTTAAATATTCGAAGCAAAATGTAAGAGAGAATTTTATCATGTATATCATAATTTTTATGGATAAAAAAATAACTGTGCCGCGAAAATGAACAAAATTCAACTTTGCCTCGGTAAACGACGAAAGTTTCGCGCTGGAGAGGAGGAAAAAAGCCGGGAGGGGTCCAAAGCGAAAAGTAGTGTAAACAGAGCGAGGGAAACTTAATGATATGACCGCAAATGAACTTACCGCTATAGCGTAAACAGAAGTGAGAGCGGAGAAAAGAAAGCACATATACAAAGAACGCGTCTCCATGGTGAAATCCAGTCGTACTGAATGATAAACACAGCCTCTCGCGACCGCGTAACCCCTGCTTCGGGAAAGCCCCGTGAGGGGCGCCACCAGCCCCCGTGCTCCGGTGCCCCGAACAAAGGAAGCTGGAACGGGGGGGGCTTCATAAGCTCTTTCCTCAATAACGACACCGCACACGAACTGCGCTTTCTAATTTCGAATTCTATCGACGCATTCCGACCCCTCATGACGCATGGCGAGAACATCCATTTTTCCCGCGCCTCCTCGAATCATTGAATCTATTTTGTGGAACTTGCGCCGCCATCCCGTTCAAAATCCGCCTATTTTCATACTTCCATTGCCTCTTTGGAAAAATACCAATTTTTCTGTGGACTTTACGTTTTGTCCGTGGAAATTGCTGACGAAAAATTAACGAAAACATTTGCGGATCCAGCAAATTGGCAACATTGTTTTCCCCCATTGGAACACATGAAAATGTATCCGTCGCAGGCAATTGGCAATCGCTGGCAATTCACAAGCCAGTGGTGAATACGTATAGAAAATCATAAATTTCAATATAAAAGAACAAGATTAGAGTGCTGATTATGTTTCCTATAGTGTGAATAGACATGTTTCGATCCTTAAAAACATGGCAGAAATATGCACACTCAGGAGAGCGTGTAGTGACATTAGTTGGGTTGAGGTCGGACAGGCAACTAAACTAAATAGTGACGAAGCGTAGAGTATCACAAAAAATGAAGGCGATTCAAGCCGAGCTCATACTTTTGAAGACCATAACCCTAAAAAATTGCATTCTGCCGATGCGCATTATTACGATTTATTGAAACAACGTGTGAACCACTTAACTTGCAAATTGCCAGCGATTGCTAATTGCCTGCGACATATCGATTCTTGTAGGGGCCAGTTGCTCTGATAATAGTCGATTATTTAATACAGGTTTTAATGAAGGAAATCCGGTGTTGCCAAATTGTTGCATTCGCCATTGAACGAAAATCGTATCGGGGCGGAAAAGAATTAAGGGGCCTGCGCATAAGTGTAGTTGTTGAAAAAAAAACTGAGACATTCATTATTTTAAGTAAAACTAGTCTGAATGCAAAACCTGTGAAATAGTTGCTCCCAACTTCCAATTTTTAAACATCAAAAAGTCAGTTGGAACTTTCTTTCGGTCATAAGGATCCATGTAAATTCGGAACTTGAAACACACGTATTTCTCGGAATGGTAAAAACAACACTCAAGCGTCTTGTCCTCCAAGCCTCTCAATTCAAACGATGACGCATGAAATAACAACTGCACTGCATTTTCAATTTGTAAGGTATACGTAAACTTACCTCGCGCACATTAAAATTTATCTATTTAAATAATTTCTCGAGCCCCAAGCAAAACGAAATTCCTCCAAGATCGGCCAACTGGTCAGCCGACCTGACTCTGAAGCTGTAGGAGGGGGAGGGCGGCAGCTACATTGACATGATAATCGCAACTTTAGGCCGCGAAAAGAAGATTTCATATTTCTAATTTTAGACATTATTTGGCTTGGAGCCCCCTGTATCCTCCTTTAAACTTTAATCATCCATGGTTGCAAAAAGCTTCTTCTAAATTACTCGCAAACTCTAAGTATATTTTCATCTAGATCTGACACTGTTTTCGGCTTTTAAACCTAAGTAGAGGAATAAATGTTGATAGGAAGTACCATGGACTACCGCTGTATTGTTTTTGTGGCAGGGCCCAGTAAACTCCAAAATTGACCATAAAAACTCCTTCGTTGGTGAATATTCGAAAACGAATTCTTAGAAGGAGAGGAAAATCCATATCGAATATCGGAATGAGAAAATGGAGAGAGGAGGAGGTGTTGTTACGATGACTCATTTTTAAATGAAATGTTACTTTCTTCTTTTGATTCATCTTTTAAAATTGTCTGTGGTGAATATTTGGCTTTATTTCTATCCTTAAAATTATCCATATAAAATAATATATCTCATATATACCCTTTTTAATGAAAATCTTACTTCATTTTAATAAACCAAGAAGCACCCAATATTTAGTTTTAACCCATTTGTACATCGATCTTCTAGAGTCAAATACGTCCAATTTTGAGCTTTTGGTTGCTCGCACACCACGCCGCAGCATATGGAAAGCACAAAATATAAAATAAAAAATTAAAGTGCTTTAGAAATCATTAAATTTGAAACCACCTTCATATTTACAAAAGACGCATTGTATTTTCTTGTAAATACATATTTTTTCCCCCCATCAATTTCAATGGGGATAATCTATGCATATTATGGAAACATTTCAAGATCATGAGTTGAAAAACGCTAACTCCGCGAGTTTAAATATTAGAGCTTAGCACAGAGCGGAGCGGCGTGCCGTCAGTGCGATATGTGCACTGGCGCCTACAAACCTAACAAGGATACTTCACGCATTGCGCAATGCGTGAAGTATCCCTGTCAGGTTTGTAGGCGCCGATGCGCGTGCCACGCTGGTCGCCTTCGCCCGTCGCGCCGCAGCATGCCACGGCACATCAAGCAACTATTTCACAACAGAGGTGTTGCACTGTATCATACGAAATTGAAGGCGCTCCAACGTATTAGGAATGACAAGCATACTTTAAGAGTACGAAGCTTTCCTCGCAATATAATCAAGATACTGCGGCACCAAAAGAGAGCGGTAAACCAAAAACTCGCCAAGTCCGAGCATCCGTAGAAAAAAGTGACTTGATTCAGGCAGAAACAGCCTTGAGTATGCCGTCAAAAAGATTTTATTTTGAATCAAGAATAAAATAGCTGAGTGAAAGCGGATTTCTACTTGATGTAAGTGACTATTTTTTTCAGTTTTTTTTTTCAACACAATGAGACAAACAGAACCAGCACATCATGCAATGATGACGGTGCAGAGATACAACTATTCGTGCTTGATGAATGTCCGTGGTGCGCATCTGCAAAATTGAAGGCGCGATGGCACGAGGCGTGAACTCGCTATGCCCCGACCTACTGCCAATGAGGTGTCACTTAGATTCGGCAGAAAAGTTAAAAAGGAGGCCTGAACATGTCTCTCCTATCCTCAGCTGTATTGACACTCGATGCTTGTTTCCAAAGCTCTTATGCACCAGCCCCACACAACCTGCGGGGCAAATGTTTTCGGGAAGCCTTGGGTCAATTTGACCCGGTTTAGGCATTGAAGGGTTAAGAACACTTCCTTCCATCATTCGCAACTTAATTTTCCTGAGAGACAAATTGAAACGACCGAGATCGGTGACTATCAACTTCCGTTGGTCATATCTTCGATCGTATTCAATAACTTTTTCAGCCTATAATTTTTATTGTAAAATTTTAATGTTATCCTATGAAAGTTGGGTAGAATTTATTGCCTCCATCTGACAACCTAACCGCTTACAAGAAAGCATTGCCGTTGGTTGTTTGCTCAAGAGCGAGCCGAGGATGTGAGTCAATATTCTGCTTCCACATTCCTATTCAGAAATTAGGGGCAGATCGTGTTCAAAATTTATTTCATGAGAGGTTCATGCTGCGTCCTTATACTTTCCTGCCTTGTAGCTCTCTCAACCGCGCCCAGTCTTGGCCCCATTCTCTCAACTCACGGCAATAATTCACTACCATAATTCTTTTCTTTGCCTGCATCTTCTGCTCGTCTCTCCACTTCCTTAAGTAGGTATAGTAAGTCTGATTTCAGAGATGATTACAATGCTTGCTGCGCATCGTTAGTCAGTTGATCATCAACCCCCGACAAAAACATAAAAAATACCTGGTCAGGTTAGGTGAAGTTCGGTTAGAGGGAGGGCAGAAAAAGAGGAGGTAAGGGGAAGCAGAAAAAAGGGAGCTAGGCCCATACAAGCCAGGCCATACAGCCCTATCGCCGGGCTTTACACTTTATCGCCTGGCTGTTGCTTTTTCGCCATCGGCTAAAAAAGGCTATACGAAATTGTGTAGAAATTCGTGTGCTTTGTAAATCCTTAAGTTTGTACGGAATCACCTTAATATTTACAAAAGGCCACAAAAGGCACATTATATTTTCCTTTACTACATATTTTTTTTCATCAATTAAAATGAGAATAATCCATATTAATCCATACAGAGTGTGCAAACAATTCAAAGTCATGAGTTGAAAAACGCTGACTCCACGAGATTAAATATTAGAGCCTAACACAAAGCGGAGCGGCGGCACACTGACGCCTACAAACCTAACAGGGATACTTCACGCATTGCGCAATGCGTGAAGTATCCCTGTTAGGTTTGTAGGCGCCAGTGCGCGTTTCGCGCTGGCTGCCGCGCCATGCCGCAGCGCACCACGGCGCTTGAAGCAACTATTTCACACCAGAGGTATTGCAGAGTATCATACGAAATTGTAGACGCTCCAACATATTAGGAATGGCAGGCATCCTTCAAAAGTACGGAGCTTTGCTCGCAAAATTAATCAAGATACTACGGCCCATAAAGAGAGCGGTAGTCCAAAAACTCACGAAGTCCTAGCATCCGTAATTAGTAACGTTTAGCATACACTTTGTCGCCAGGTTGTTGCTTAGTCACCATCGGCTATAAAAGGCTATAAGAAATTGTGTTGCCGGCTGTAGAAGCTATTGGAAATCTTACAGCCGGCTGTAGGTCTATGGTATTTTGGAACACAGATTCTACTGCCAATTTTTACCAGGGCAGTCGATAAGACTAATTTTAAAGTTAACATTAAAATTGTATCTTGTTTCATTTTTAGTGCCGTTTTTCGCTGATAAGTTTTGAAAAGAGGGCACATCCGCCACTTTTAAACAAACAGATTGACCAGATCAAACTACCTAGTTAATCAGTTTTTTCAAGTTCTGTAAGTTTTAACGATGACTCTTTAAAATTGAAATTATTGCTCGATAGTACAATATGTTTTATAATAATTATTTTTTCATGCAAATATCATAACAGGATGTATTGATATCGATGGTTCAAATGCAAAATCACATATCTCCATTACGGTGTTTCAAAATTTCTGCTCCTATTTTAGTTTTTCGTAGGGCAGCATGTGTTGGATCGTTTCTGCTTACCTATATCTTGAGCCATATTTAAACCATGCTTTTTTTTAAAATCAACATCAGTTCAAGTTAAAAGAGTTCTAGCTGCGAGCACAAGAGCCCCAACATAACGCATAATTTAAAATATCATTTGACAAGGCTGAGACACTGACAGCTTGGGAGCAGTCGAGTGGGCACTTACGTTGCTTTGGATGTGAATGGGTACAGAGAGTTAGCAGTGCGCTCAGCATCAAACCCTCGTGGTTCACTGATCACTTTCCCGATTCATACTATGTTTGATTAGATATCAGATATCAGTCAAATGTTTAGCACTTTTCGTAGGTATATGAGAAAGTCTCATACTTTACCTTCACCACTCACCCCTAGGTCCTTTAGGTCGGTAAGTATACAAGTTATACCTTCGGCATTTCACCTATTTTATAAAGCAAATAAAAATCCAATGACCGTCATGTAGATATTCACATCTTTCGTATTTTTTTTTTCACCGCCAGAATTTCTGATCAGTTACGTTTCCGTGCGAGTTATGGCCTTGCCGCGTAATCATGAGTGGCGGTAACCATGAAAGAAATAGACGGTAACCACATCCGGGCAAGTAACCTATCCCCCAACAACTGGCAACACAGCACAGCCCGGTCGAGGCAACGACACCATAGCTACACGTAATTATATTACACAAATAACTGGCACTGAAAAGGAAAAACACTGAATTAAATGACTTTAAAAACTTAACGTAAGTTTAGTTCAGCTCTGTGCCGACAGAGCCCGCGGCGACCACCAAAGCTTAACCTAACCTCCAAATTCATGAGTAAATAAATAGTGAAAACAGGAAGAATCATGTTAAAAAATCGTTAAAATAAGCTGTCATGTTTTCGATCCTAAATTTTACCCCATAATCTCAATTTTTTTTTCAAAACACTGTTCATTTCTTCCAAAATCTTCTTCTTTTCGTAAATAATTTTCATGGTAAGCCATCATATCCTTTTTGATTAACAAGGTTCATGTTTTGAAAGCTGTTGCTCAACTGAGAGTGAGTGTCTCCCATCGGGCGATTTTCTTGGATCCAGTGATAATAATTTCCTCTACCAACCACTTTACCCTGCTTTACCCACATCGGAGCAGTGATTATCATGAAGGAGTTAGGATTATTGTCAACATGAACATCCCTGTGTTCATCTTCAAAGCAGTTTCCGGACTCCCCATGACGCACTGGTAATTTCAGTCGTTTCACAAGGTACTTAAATTATTTATATTTACCTGTCAAGAAATCAATAAATCTCTTCAAGAAATCACAGTTCTATGACATGTTTAGAGAAAGTGGTTTTTCAATACATTTTTTTCTTGAATGTCCAACTCCAACACTTTTAGGTGCAAAGCTAGCCTTGAACTTAGAAGATAGAACTGGGAAAAGAAAACAATAGACAAATGTCACATCCGAAAATTGCACCATTCAACAGATATTTACATGCTATTCAATGGGCCAACTGATGATTGATTTATGCAGACTGATGTGACTTTGGTCTATTCTTTTCTTTCCCCAGTTCTAAGTTAGCAGTTTTTTACGTTTGACTGTAACGTTAGTAGTAGACTGGTTAACAATTCTACACAAGGTAGTGGCATTGCGTGCAGTCAATCCTCCATGGCAGTTAATCTTCAACTGATCAGCGGGGTGATTATTGAAATGCTATCGACTGTATGTCGCCGCTTTGTCGTGTCGCGCCATCGACTAAGCATATGCTTAGTCGATGGCGCGACACGACAAAGCGGCGACATACAGTCGATAGCATTTCAATAATCGCCCTGCAGCTCAGCATCTTTGCAGTTGTGATCCCAAAAGTATCAAGTGAATTGCCGTACAATTTAACAGTAGACGGCAGGTAATCTCACAGCATTGGCCCTTCGTCCCTTTTCCTAAACTCATCTCTGACCTAAAGTGCTAAGCATTAGACCATCATCACAGTCAGTGAAGAAAGACAATGCCTCAACAAGAGCTCAAGAGCCATTCGACAGTGAAACTGCAAAATTGCGTATCATGGTTGCGGTGTTCCGAAATCTCCGCTACTATTTTATTTATTTGTAGAAGACAAAATGAGTCGTGGCCTTGAAGTTTTCAGAGAAAATTCATTAGAAAGAGAAGAAAAATCACTGAAATTTTAAAAAAAATGATGCTCTGTAGTTTACCATGTAGAAAATAAAGTGTGACAGGAAGTCTGTAATACCGCAAACCGAGATAAGCATTTATGCAGTTTCACTATCGAATTGTCAACTTTCCAACAATCTCAATAACAAATCAGCATTGAGGTCAGTCATCTGTATTGTTACATTGCATTCAATTTTTCCTCTTTTATCTGTCTGAGTTTTTTGCATCTTTGAGTATGTATAACTTAGTCAATCCAGATTAGATTCAATATCACAAGAAAAATCAGTCACCAATAGGAATAATAAAGAATCCTAGTGAAATAAGTCAACGCACTTTTGGAGTTAAGCAGATGATCTACTCTTCATTCTTGTATTTACTTCCAGTGCTGCAGAGAAGACAGCTGGTCTTATGATGCATTCAAATTATGTTTATTACTCGGTGTAGACTCTAGCACCTGGACTGCAGGAATCTGAATTAGTCCCATTGGTGGATCAAGAAAATTGGCAACATAGTCTTTTCTATATTTGAACTTATGGAAATGTATCGATTCTTGGAGGGGTCAGGTGCTCTGACAAGAATCGATTATTTAGCATAGCTTCAAATGGAGGAAATCTGGCGTCGCCAAATTGCTGGATCTGCCTCTAATCAGTCCATAAAAGTTTCAATGTTGGAATGTTCTCAAGTAAAAAGGATATTTTTTGAAACAAAAAGTCAATATTAGCTATTGTAATCGTCTATATTTTTGTTTGACTCAGGTGACACCTTTAGAAAATGCTCACTGAAAAGGAGGCTCTGTACGTAACAGAGTTTTTGACTGCACTTCCTGAACACAGTGTGCAATCAGTTGCACATACCGTATCGGGAGGTATGTTAGACCCTGAAAACAAAGGAGGTATGTATCAGTTCATTTTATAATTTTTACAACATAACAGCAACTGTAAACCCTTTGTTTTACTTTGGAGATGCTGAAAACAAACATTTAAAACTTTCGCACGACTAAATTAATAATTATGAAGTCAAAACACTAGATTTAAAAATTAAGCTGTACCTGCAAATGGTTGAAGATATTGTGGCAAATATAAAACTTCTCTGAACCAAGTGGGAATTACTGAGAAAAACTGCCCATGGAAGCAGGAAACTTAGAAAAGCGTATAACAAAGTAAGCAGATTGCACACTAAGGAGTAGATCTCAGATGTTGCTGGAAGCCCATTGTGATTTTCATATGTTTTTTTTATAGTTAATCTATTCACTTGTTTGAATTTAAGGATTTGGACAGCTTCCATGTACCTTAAAATACTTAGGGCACTGAAGAGCAGAAGAAAGTGTCAATTTCATGGGGAAAATTTATTAAACTGACTTTAGGAAGAGAACTTGAGAGGGGGGATGGGAATATAAGAACGTATTGGAAAGAATCAGGAAAGGGGCTGACAAGCTCAAATATTATTGGGTGGAAGTGGAAACTAGTTTCCTCAAGCCTGAGAAATGGAGGTATAGAGGGAGTTTTTTTTTACCCATTTTAACCAGTAAATGCAGCTGCTCTCTATTTAACCTTACTTTTTCTTTACAAAATCGTTTAGTAGCTCTTTCTTGACCAAAGCTAAAAACTGTAGGTTCAATCTTTCAGAAGAAATTTTTAAAATTGGGTGTTTCATTCGATCAGGGTAAGTACGCGCAGTTTATGGTCATCGAGTTTTTTCCAATTAATACTGACTATTGAGTTCATGTGTCTTTTTCTTAATCAATCGAGGGATCAGGATTAATATCTTTCGTTAATAATGAAATCATGTTGTCATTGATGTTTTCTTTCACTATTTTCACCACTCACAAATAAATAAATTCTTGACATAGCAGTGCAAAATGACACATGAAAGTGCAAAGTGTCTCTCAGAGATTAAGTCGTAGAGTATCCAGGAAGCATATTTCCTATTCTTATTATAATATATTTAATTTATACTTCTTTTCTAATTTCTATGTATGTTTCCCTTAAAAACGTTGTAGCTATCAAATTTTCATTAGTGCATTGCTCTGAAGTGGAAAGATTTTATTCTCAATGTTTTTCTGAATATTTTTTCAGCTGCCATCAAAATAATAATCCAGCACTCTGAAAATCCTGAGAAAATATTGAGTAGGAAACTTATCTCGAAGCAGTATTTATTCAGCTATCTCCACTGGAGAAATGTCTCTGTCTCCCAATCCTTAAATAAAAATGCGTTGGTTCAGAAAATTCTCACTCTATGGCAGGACACTCCGTACCAGAGCAGAGCTCCAATGCCTGAAAATTATCAAGCTTCGTATACTCAAAATGGATCTTCTCAAGCCCTCTCTGTAAGTTGTTATCTACCGCAATTTAATGAGTTTTCATCAATATGATCGTTATTTTTTCAGATTTTTCTTGCATGTACTATTTATATTCAAAATGATCTCAAAAATGATGGACAAGCACTGAGGTCCTGCAATTCAAATTTGATTTGTTTTAGAATTCAGAAAAAAGAGCACACATATTGCAGGGTCTACGAAAACTATTTAAATTAATTAACATTCGTTAAAGTTGGAATTTGTACTAACTGGTATCTTCATAAGAGACTTCTTGACACTAATAAAAGTAGAATAAATGTTTTGTCCATTTAATTATCTGTATTTTTGGTCACTGGTTCCCTGTTGCTTACTTCAAAATGGGCAAAATCAAATAAGAGAAAGGAACCAAGTACCACTTGGTTTCATGGAGGATCGAATGAAGTCAGAAGACATATTCACAAAAAGAAACGAAGCCCACTTGATTTCTCTCCGTGAATTCGATTTTGAATAAAGCAGGGGTTTAGTTCGTGGCCCAGCAGAGTGCCTATGTGCAGTGTTCTTGTTGACGGAAAACTTACTTTAGAAAAAAAAACAGATTCTATTATAATTTTGCTGGCGCAATTTCTGTTAGTAGTGAATGAAAAGATTTTAACATGTAAATACCATTTAAACAATGAACAGCAACTTAAGTTGATATTTTATTACCTAACCTCGAATTGTAGTTTTGACGGTAGCATATCGGCAAAGTTACCCGAGGGCGACTCAAGTACTTGGTTCTTTTCTGTGAATTCGAAAGAGCCCGAAGCAAAAAAATCAACATCTCAAATTGAAATTTCGAACTGAGCACGATTTTTCCCAATCAAGCACTTTTGCCGGGAAATGAAGCATATCTTGGCCCATTCAGATCAACCAATAACTCAGATCGCCTAATAATGTGGCTTGGTTCCATTCTGCTGAATGCAGTCCAATTATTCAAGGATAGCATAAGCATGCCATGCTAAAGATTAGTAGGGCCCAACTTAGCAATTCTTGTGAAGGATGATAGCAATCGTGGTCTTCTTACTTTTCCAGGGACAAAACGATCAGCAAGGAAGTGTCTCTTATACAGCGTTGGGAAGCATGAATTCAGATAATCGGTACCATCAAAATGCAGAAGTTACAGGATTGTACCATAACCAGTCTTGTAGCAACAATGCAGTCGTCTCAAATTCCTTCAGCAATAGTTCTTCAGGGGTAGATTATAACTTAGTTTTAAGAAATGAAAACACGGTCAGTAACACGATCAACCAAAATTCAGTTGGTAACACCTCTCATCCAGCAAACCAGTTCAGTGTTGAAGAGCTAGCTCTCAAGTTTTCTGAGTGGTTTTATGGGCTAGTCAATAAAACTGAGTATATCTCCAGTAATCCGTCTGAATCAGACCTGGGACCGCAGCATTTTTGGCAAGATGCTTCAATCCAGATAAGTTTGCACAGTGAATGTGAAGTTTCTTCGCATACGGCAATGAGTGGCGTAGAGGTTTCAGAATTAATTTTAAATATCAAAACGCAACATAACCTTTTTTTCAACCCAAATTTAAGTCACGATGGGGTGAGAGGTAAATCTGAACGACATGGAATGGCTGTTATTGTTGCTTGTGGTACTCTTCACAGGGGAGTTGGACAATTTGTAGGCGTTTTTGAACAAATGTTCTATCTTTTAAGGGATCCTTTATGTTCGAATAATTGGAAAATCAAACATTCACAGTTAATACTGAGATCAAGAAATATGAATGCTTTAGAACCCCCTCCCACCTTAAATGATTCCGAGCTAGCGCACAGTTTACAAATGAAAGCTCTAACTTGATTTTATGTCATAAAAACATTAAGAAAAGAAGTAAGTCTTCTCATAAGTACATTTTTTCTCTATCATCTGGTGTCCTTGAGAGGCCTCAAAGCTGTATACCAAAAATGAAGCTCTGCAATATGTAGCAGATATGAAATCTGTGAGTTTTAATCACCTTGACAGTTAATGCCTATCAAAATCCAAGTGTACTCTTTGAAAGAGCAGGATTTCTGACATTCGGGAATGTCAGAAAAAGGCAGGGAATTCATACAAAATGTCAGGGAATTTCGCAAACAGCGTTTAGCAGAGGTTAGCACAATTCAAAGGACTAATATGTAAGTAGAAGTTTTGTTCAAGGGTCAGGGAAAATCAAGGAGCGGTACAGTCAGAGAAAGTGCTACCTGATAACTCATTCTTAACATAGGAGAGGTAGCATGAATGGCTGCCTGCCCTGGAGCGATCACAGCTCCATAACTTTTTGCCCATTGAAGGACTATCTTTGCGAGTACTGTATCATGAGTCGCCTGTATCCCCTGTTGTAAGAGTAGCATCAGCCTAAAGCTGAAGACTTGTGGGTTTATTGGGGGAAGGCAATAAATCCGCAAGGGCAACCCATTTTATACTGGACCTACAAAAGAACAAAAAAATCTTTCAAGTTTGTTTCCTATAGATCTAATTTGTTAATTTTTCAGTAGATACCTCCTTTGTCCTCTTCTTTCATGGTAAACCTGTGGTAAACTGTAAGGTAAGGTCCTTTATGAAAACATTCTTAATCTCGATGTGACAACTAATAAATTAATAGTTTTGGACTTGCACTATTTTAAGTATCATGTATTCAAGAGTAAGAGAAACAAGAGCTCCGATAACACTCCAAAAAGGGGCTGGACCTTTTCTGAAGGCCCAGAGGAGGTGTCCTTTTTTTTATTTCGTTCCTCTACCTTGTTTTATGTTTTTCCTCACATCAGCTTCAATCTTGTCCCTCCATGTTGTGATCTTTTTTTTTCTTTCTTTTTTCTGGGGTCCAAATCGTTACTTTTCTCATTAAGCGCCACTGAGAGAGTTTTACAATACATCGTATCCACTGGTATGTAATCCCTCTCGCAGCTTATCCCAGCTCTTTGTAAACCCCAACTTCTCTTATCTTGTTCACCCTTTTTATTCCAGGAACCCATTTGGGCGTTTTTATATGAATAACTTGTCATTTATTGCATGAACAATACTTTTATTCTAAAAGTTTTAGTAAGAAGTATTTCTTTGTTTGAATCAACTACTCAAATTTGTTTTGGTAAATTAAACGAAGTTTCAAAGTTAAAATGATAGATTTATTACCTGTCTTGAAATTTCCTGAATAATAGAATTTTAAGATAATAATCTTATTTTATTGGAATTTTGTGAAGTGAGTGAAAAGCGTTTATCTTCATTAGAAGTTTTGAAATTTTCTCTGATTTTTCTGCACAACTCCGTGATTTTGAGATTGGGACAGATATCAATTGAGAATGTTGATTTGTATTCCCTTCTAAAATATAAAGTATGCTTGGCAAAATTGTGGAATATGACAATTGAAAATACATTATTGTGAAGTTTAGCCATCATATCAGTCATTATCTTTATAAAGTTCCCTGGCTCAGTGTAAGTTTTTACTTCCTAGTAGTCTAATTAAAAGAAAATTTTTAGAGAAGTTTCACTCAGGAGATATATAAGACTTTCCTGTGAAGACCTGGCTGGTGGTGTAACTTAAAAAAAAACCCAAGCTACGACTTTGCAGTATCATCGCCATTAGAATTGAATATTTTTGCTATATTTCTAAACGGAAATGTACGTTTGTTGTATTGCTTGTATGTGGATTGTCAGCTGGTTGTATTAAGCACCGTGCATTAAAATCAAGGTGGGAAAAATCATGATTAAGAGGCTTGGAAGACAAGGCGCGTAAGTGCAGTTTTTATCATTTCGAAAAAATCGAGTTTAAAGTTCTGAATTTCACTTAGACCTATGGAGTGCTCTGAATACCTTCAAAATTTACAAGTGTTTGTCTCGCACCTTCATGAACGTGTTTTGAAATTTTCAGCTCAGTTGAGCCAAATTGAATCAGTGAGAAGGAAAACACACCAACTCGGTAACTCGAAGATGCTCACTTTTCACTAAGGACAGACAATTTTCATAAAGGTCATTGAAGTTACCGTATCTGTTTCAATTTGGACATCTTAAGTGTCCTTAAGTACTTGCTTTTAGGCACCAAAAATCTGTGCTTTTAGTGAGGTCCAGTCGTTGTTATGTATCTCACCTGTTGATACACAAACATAACGAGCTATGGCACACAGCTGAGGCCGCTGGGCGCTAATCTCTAGTTTCGACTTTCTAAAACTGCACTTATGTACCTTGTCTTCCAAGCCCCTCGATTCATGGCTTCATATGATGTCATGAGCTCAGGCTGATGAGAAATTCTCTTTTTTTCACATCTACAACCTTGAGCCTCTTGCTTTCAGTCTAAAAATCTGTTTTGAACTTTTTTAAGCTCAGAAACATGTTCGTCGCTAAAATTTACCTAAAAATAGCTCTTTAGAGGACAATTCTTAAAGTATGCAAACTATTTATGCTATTTAAACTATTACTTATTTGTGCTATCATTTTATTTTAGAAAATGCAAATGGTATTCGTACACATTGTAAAAACGCCGTTATCTTGTCAATTTGAATTCAAATAAGTTGAATTAGGTCTTGATCACAGGTTTTTTTGTCTTCTTTCAAACGAGACATGGATAAGTAGCTTGGTTTTTCAATCACAGCGCCAGTCCAGGTATTTCTAGGACAGCTTATGTGATTGAAAAAACAGACAGACAGAAAAAGAAAAGTTGAGAAAGGTTACAGAAAATTTTTATTCTTAAGGTCACCATCACCTCCAATGCACAGATATATTTTGAAACTTGAAACTATAAAAGTTATAGAAGTCAATTAACAAGTAAAAAACAAAGAACAGACTTATGCATAGTGATATTTCACTCATTCAATGCGCGAAATTAAAAAATTTTACAGAATATAAAATAGACATAACTGACATCTCTCAGTTACAAAAATAAATATACCTTAAATCATAATTTTTCAACAAATACCCTGTTTCAAAGTGTTTCAATATGACATCCAGGGGTGGAAGACGGGCATAGTAACATACAAGAATATCAACTCCACCTGGCTACCTGATGGAGATAAGGTTCCAAAACCCAGCTTTTCACAAAATGTCTTCTTTTTGCTATGAATGAAAAAATCTTTTTCCTAGGTTTTCTCAGTCGAAATTTGTATTTATTTATTTATTTTATTTTTTATTTTACCAAGTTGGTAATGTTACAAAAAGTGGGAGCTGAAAACCATCTTTTATAATGATTTTTTTAAGATTCTAAATGTTCTGTAATTCATTGTAAGCAAAGTTCATTTGGTAATAATTTCAGAATTTTCAGCGTTTCAAATTGCCATTTTAAAAAGTTCAAATTCTACTTATTCCGCTCTCTCATCGTCGGGAGGGATAAATTTGAAAGTGAGGAATTGTGATAAAATCATGGCACCATTTTCGTAGCACGCTCTGCATAATTTAACTATTTGACAATTGTATCCCATAATCAAAAACTGATCTGAAACCATCACAAAAAATTCGAGTTACACACTAATTTCCCAGCCATCTTTAAAAGTATAAAAAAATTAATAATCAAGAGTATTTGGATTGGAACAGTTAACATTGAAGTTGCTTTATCTTTCATGCACATGGTTCATAGCAGCTCTTCATGACTAAATCCATGGTCTTTGAGAAAAGTCCAATTTAGCAAAATCAAGGAAATTTCAAGGACTTGCAAGAATGTACAGCAATTGTAAAAACCTAACAGGACGTCTTCAAAATTTCTTTTCTTCCGGTGTCTTTTTCTTTTTCTCTCCTGCCTGTTGGTGACCAGGCAAAATATCAAACCTACCAAAAACGCCACTGGGCATTTGGAGTCTCCACAACAAAATTTTAAAGAAACTTTAGTTCAGAACAGTCATGAATACCTAACCTAACCATAAAAAATTTGGCATATTTGAGGTCTTTCAGGTGCACTTTTGTGATTCCTTAATTTCCAAGGATATATAAAGATCTGAAAATTCCGCATAGGAATTGTTCAGCTTTTAAAAACTCAAAAAAGCACTGTTCCAAATCAGTAACACTAAGCCATTGAGGGACAATAAAAAGGGCTGCATCAAGAAGAATGAGTAGGTTTCCTTCAATGAACTTAAATTGAACAACTTAAAACTTAAAAATTACCCTACGACAAGTTACCTTGATCCTTGACAACTGGGTTTACTAACATATAAAAACAATTTTTTAAACCTAAGTACTTAAAAATGTAATGATATGTTTTTTTTTGGTTGATAGATTTTCCACTGTGTAGAAAATTCTATAATATAAATAATAAGGCATCATAGTTTATCAGAAAGAGGGACGAAAGAGACATACATACAAGGTGTCCCAAATCACCTGTGACAGGCATTTTTTTGGTTGTTTCAAGTCGGAGACAGTAAGGATCAAGTAAGAACTTTCCGGAAGGAATCCAAATTTAATGGTTCTTCCCATCTCCTACCTAAAATGACCGATAAAAAGGCTGGTATGGGTATAATACATGTGCACATGTAAATATAATTTACATCAAGATATAACAATGCTGTGTTAGGTGATGATCTTTTTTTTCTCATTGCTTTTTTAAAACACGGCACAACTAATAATATAAGAGGCGGTCTTTAAAATTCTTTGAATAGAATTCTTTGAATAGATTTCTTCTGAATAGAATTTCTCGTGAACAGGTCGGCCAACTTTTAAAGAGAGGAAGAAGATAAATCATGTTCATTTCTGCATTCAGTTTAAATTCTAAAATGAAGACTTCGGATCCACGGATGAAACTAGGAACTGCTTGCAGCTAGAAGGACACCTTGTTAAGGAAGATTTAGGGAGCATAAAAAACGCCCCATCAAGGGGGACTTATGGGAAACTCCTAGGTCCAAAAGAGGACCCCGAAAATTTTCTTGGGCTAAGAGGAAGTCCAGGGGAGCTCCCACGGAAAATTTTAAAAAATTGGGTCGTCTTCAGAGCAATTTTCAAGAACAAATTGATCAAGTTAAAAATTAAAAGGTGAAAAATATGTAACACACTTATTTAGCAAAATCTCTTACAATTCTTAGAAGGGGGCAAGTAGATTTCTGAGGGGGACAATCCCCTCCCCCTCCCTAGGCCCCATAGTAATTTCGCCCATGATCAGATGTTCTGCCACACTTTAAACGTTGGCAAACTAATTTGGCAAGCACGCTAGTTACTGAATACAAAGCTCCTTGAACGGATCAACTTCAAAGATATTTTATGCTGAGGATAAAAATATTTTAATTATGATGTACAATAAATTTATGTAAAACAATAATTTTCTATCTTGTGTCACAAAAATGCCACTTCACAAATGATGGCTTTTTAAAATCCTTTAAACCTAAACAGGACATGTGCCAAGTCTTAGACTAATTTGTTAATTTTTCAGAAAGTAATGAAGCAAATGATGTTATTTGTAAAAATAGCAGATGCCGACTTCTATTTCAATTGGTGGTACTTTTGCTTTTAATTTAAACCTGGAAAAAACATTTCCAAGAGTAGTATTTGTTCAACCCAAAAAACCAAAGTACAATCTATTTGGTAGTAATGACATCAAATAGTTGGGTAAAATCTAGGTAGCTAGTTGAAGTCATGAAGACAATTTATTTTTTACCCAATTCAATATTTCATCAATTTTTTCCTCCAAATAATCCTCACTATGATTATTATCGATTATTACATCCCAGCTATTCACTGAATCTAAGCCACATTCTGTCTCTGCATCATCAACTCCTGGAAAAGAATAAAGATGAAAACAAAACTCGGTTAGCATGACTACACCTCATTAAAAAAAACAAACTGATGCCCAAAGTGCAGAACAACGTATCTCTATTGCGGTGTTTCAAAATTTTCTTCCCAATTTTATTTCCAAAAGGGACAGAAGCCAACTTTATAGCTTAGAATCTATAAAGAATATTTGAGTATTGGAGGATAGAAATCAAGAAATTACGAAGACCTGATTTCCGAAGCAAAATTAAACAAGAGGTATTCAATGTTGCAAACAAGGATAATTGATTTCGCACTTCGGCAATCAATTTGAACCTCACTGATATAATGTTATTCATGGTTGTGGTACCAGTGAATGCATGCTCATGATAAAATGTTATTAACTGATACCGTAAGTTGATTTATAAGTAGTTATTGGTTGAGAATCTTGTAAAAAATAATTTTTATATTTTCACGAAATGCAATAAAAATCTGACAGTAATCAAACAATCTGTGTCATTCAACAAATAAGCTCTTCTACAAAAGCTGTTTTTTCCTTTGGACAGTTTTATTTATTTTTTTTTTTTTTTTTTTTTTTTTTTTTTTTTTTTTTTTTTTTTTTTTTTTTNTTTTTTTTTTTTTTTTTTTTTTTTTATCTGGAATAGATAAATTAAAATAGAAAAGTTACCAGTCTGGCTGCTTGAGTCTTCTTCTGCACTTAAATAATTTTAATTTTTTCAATCCGAAGTTTGTGAGCATATTAAAAATATTTCCATTTTAGTAAATTTTTTAGTCTCTATTCAGTAGATAGACATCAGACAGAAGAGTCGGATTCAACGGAGAGAAGTAAGTAATACTTTTAGGTGCATCAAAAATTCTTCCAAAAAATATTCGTTCTTCGCATATTTTTAAAGCTAATGTTTTGTTTAGAAGGAGTATTATTTTTTTTTATTTTATTTTATTTTAAAAAAAAAAAAAAAAAAAAAAAAAAAAAAAAAAAAAAAAAAAAAAAAAAAAANAAAAAAAAAAAAAAAAAAAAAAAAAAAAAAACTCAAAAGGGTGGTTGATGGAATCAATGTTAGTGCTTATATGATATCTAGAATTCTTAACCATGCTCCTTCCCTGATTTTCAGGAGCTCACTCCCTAATGAGAAACAAAAGTTTTCTCTCACTTCCTTGGAATTGCTTGGGGGAAAAAATATAATTCTCCAAAGTTCCAGTAAAGAATATCGATATTTTTAGCGGCTCTGGTGCTTGCACTAGAGCTGCTATTCCGGACGGTCCCAGCTGGGGAGTATCAATGGACCATGTTACATTGGAGAGACCGCGCGTTGGTTGATGGGAATCGGCGCCATTTTCGACTATGTACCTTGTCATGACTTTATTTTATTGCATATTGTTTTATTGTTAACCAATGCTATGTTGTGTAGTGTATTTTTGGAATCATGGTGATACAGTCAATAATTCAAAACTTGTCTGTGCTTTAATCTCGTGATGGAAAAAATGTACTTTACGTTCGAAATTTTGAATTTTAAAGTTTTCGCGGTTTTTTGGAAGAATGCAGTAGTTAAAGCTTCCTAGGCATATTACTCGATATCAGCTGATAGCAAACAAAGGTTACCAAGGAAACCGTAAACGTTTAACAACTATCGTGGCCATCGGGGCGATTATTGAAATGACATCGACTCTATGTCGCCGTTTACGACGGGACATAGCCCTATCTTATCCGTGTAATATATCGCAATTCGATATTGTTTTGATTTTTAAATGGAGCAATTTATTCAAAAAGTTCCGTTTAGTTAGTCGCCAGAGCCGCTTTCCGACGCGAATGCGTTGGAGCTTACTGCTTGTTTCACCTTTCAACCTATTCCTTAGTGCACATTTAAATTTTCAATTTCAAAAGCGTTTCTGATATTTATATCATCTAGTAAATGAAAGATTCTCTATTACTCTGATGATTTGAAGATTCAAAAATGTCATTTAAGAGGTCATTAATGGTGGCTCAGGTGCAATTACATGAAGTCTAAGCGGTAGAAGGAGAGATTCCTGGTTTTTTTAAAGCAAAATCCCTGATTTTTCCTAAAATTTTTCATTCCCTAATGAATCCCACTTTTTCCCGGTCCTAGACATCTTAATATACTGACCTACACCTTGATAAATGGTTTAGTAATAATATTACTGTATTGTTTACCTTGTGTAAAAATCCATCCTCTTTTTTTCCTCACATCAATATCTGCTCTAATGCGAACTGTCAATAAACTATTTCCGTAATGGCTCTGAAACCACTCCAGATCAGTCATCCTCCGTGCATCACTTATGATCCAAACTGGTTTTAAATTTGCTGGGGAAAAAAATAAGTTTGAATACAGTGAATTACAAGGGTTGAAAGGGGGGGGGGGAAAGGGTACAGAGAAGAAACATAGTTTCTATGCCAAACTTCCACTCTAGAAAGAGTAGGATCCAATGGCTACATTTAAGAGGATGGTAACAGATGGTTCTATTTTAGAAAATGGTTTTGATGGCTAAAATGGAAAAATACATATCTCCAAATGCGACCTGGCGAAAACTCCTGTCAGATTTTATTTTTCAAGGGGGGTCAAAGTTGGATTTTGAAATTTCGACCATAAACTCTCTTTAAAGGATCGAAGAATCAGTTATGAAAGGTTTAGATTGTTTTAAGTCAACAAAGGGAGCAAAGTTAAGTACATTATTATCCTATGAATTTGACCCTTTAAGATGATTCTATGTGATATAGGGACGAGATCCGCCACCACATTGCCCTGCTTCAAGGTTTGTGTCTTTTAGAAGTAATAATTATTGTAATGTAAGAATAATGTAAGAAACTGATCCATGACAAGTAGCAGCATTAAAACTGAGTAGAAGGACATTAAATTACTGAGGGTTCATTGAAAATTTGTATCAAAAACTACCATAATAGCCATCGCTCATTGACTCAATGTGTGAGAGAGAGTTACTATTAGACTATTATTTCTTATTAATTCCATTATTTCTCATGAAGAAATAGCATTTCCATGACCAAAGTGTGAAACCACATAACTCCTATTTCATTTTTTCAAAGACAAACGAGCAAACTATATAGATTGAAATTCAAACAGAATATTCTGCTACCAGAGAGGAAAAATTAAGGAAGTTTTCAAGAAATTATGTAGACTAGTTTTTCAAAGAAAAAATAAAGTAAGATAGGAAGTCTGCAACGGCAGAAATGGAGATACATGGTCTCACACTTCGATTTAAAGATGACTATGGTAAAAATGTGCTTAAGAAGATGGAATTGATTTTTGTATACTAACCATTAGTCATTTTGATGGCTGCTTGACAGAAATAACCCGGGTCTTCTAGCCTTTTTTCTTCTCCCCATTTGATCATGTTCTTTCTATAAGTTTCCTTGTATTCACTGGTGCCCATCAGCTCAGCCAGACTGAGACCTTCCTTCTCTGCCCAGTGACTTTTGATGGGAGCGGATAATCTGATGATAACGGCATGCTCAGCACCCAATCTAGGCAACAAAAAAAGAAGCAATAGAGGGGGGTATTGATCGGAAATAGGAACTTGTAAGAACTTACATTAAAGAGACCAAAAGGGCTCCCCTTGGGACTTAAGTTAAGTGGCTAAGGAAATGAGAATTTCCCTTTGAAGTGAGTATTCTTGTTTCACAGAAACAAACACCGATGACTAAGAAATAAAGTCAACATATTTGCCTCTACCTACCTGGTGAAAATTACACTGTGCTAGGAGATCTGCTGGCCAAACAGTGTTGCAGTTTGTGGCGGTACATCTTCAACAACTTAACTCACTTGAAAATAAAATTTTTCTTTTAGAACAGCAATGGGTCTGTTATAAATTTTTGACATGCAAAAAAGAACTTTTTCTTGAGGAGAGTGGTTTGAATTCACAATGAGCTCATCCAGTATACTACAACAAAGACAGAATTTGATACCGATCTGCTATGCTATTCCTGTCAATCCTGCCATTGTGAAATAACCCTTGACTCAACTTGGCAGTTGGCTGATTATGGACATAATTGGACCGCGTTAAACAGAAAGGAACCAAGCCACATCAGCCATTGCCAAATTTAATTAGCTACTTTAATTTGTTACATGAAAACAGCTGTGCGGGTTTTCGTGGAAATTTCAGTGAATTTTCTCCATACCTAATACGAAACAAATTCCTTAACATTTTCATAGGGATTTGCACAAACATTTTCTCGTAAAAAATTAAATTGCCCAATTACAAGTGGCAAAAGCTGATGTGGCTTGGTTAGTTTCTGATAAACGCGGTCCAATTGTGGACTGGCATACGAAGTGGACCAGTTATCATTTTACTACCATGGATTGCACTCAAAATCCTTGATAATTTTTGGATGGCAGTTTGTGCAGTTGTTCCTAAATGATAGATGCACGATTGCAAAGAGCCTTGCACAAAAAGGGCTAAAATTCGCCCGTTTTCGGGCCCTCGAAATTGGGGTCGGTGTGAGGTATTTTTTCATCTATAGGGTGACCCTTTACACATAATAAAATTTCAGATTGAGTATACGCACCGTTTTTGAGATATGGGGGGGCAAAGTCCCCGATTTTTACTCATATTTGCAGGTATTTTATAGTCGAACTTCGGCTGCTACAAGGTACCGGATGTAGATATTGAAGCGCGGTTTGCGGTGATTTGTCAAGCTATTTCTGGATTATTTTTTCACATCTTTTACAAACCCGCAANAGATGAAAAAAAACCTCACACCGACCCCAATTTCGAGGGCCCAAAAACGGGCGAATTTGTGCATGGCTCTTTATCTGTCATGCAAAGAACGGGCACATCTGAAGGGTTTCAGGTTTTTCCTGAACACTGTAAACACTAGGATTAAGATTTGATGGAATCAACCTCACATTACTTAGTGAAAAAGACATTGCAATGGTAGAACTGCAGAAATGCGTGCTTCAGTTTGCAGCGTTGTAGACTCCCTGTCATACTTCACTTTCTGCATTGGAAATTACTGAACGTAAGAACTTGAAAACTTTGGTAATTTTTCTTCTCTATGTGGAGGATAATCTGTGGAAGTGTCAGGTCATGATAATGGCTTGCTTTCCTTTTTAGAAAAATAATTGGCAGATATTTTAAAACACTGCAACTGAGATATGCATTGCTGCAGTTTCACCAGTGAAATCTAGAGTGAAAAAACTTAGGGATATTACAGACCTATTAAAGACTCGCTCTGCAACAAAATCTTTGCCCGACTTTCTTTTTCCACTGAAAAGTACTACGCATTTTGGACAGTCCATGACAGCTGCCCAGTGCACTGAAACTTCAAGATTAGCTCATTCTGCAGCATGAGACCTTTGAATTGGCTGACTGCCGGGGGAAGTGGAGTCCTGAATGATTGAATGAATAATTTACGCGATATGAAACTTTGTAAGATATTCACTTTTTCTTGCAAATGTATGCTACATGGCTACATCATCAAATTAGTGACACATAGATATCGCCACCACGTCGCTTTCCTACGTTTGATCGTGATTTCCATTTTTTCACTATAATTTCCTGAAGACTGAGATAGACAGAAACTGAAAAACAGTGAAAACTGACAAACTGAGACTGACCAGACTGACTGAAAAATCCGGAACGTCAGAAGTAGGTGAAGTAAAGTAAACAAAACAACAAAACCAACACAGTACAATTTTAAGGTTAGCTGCTGGCTGAGGAAGCGATCGATCAATCAAAAGAAGGAATCTTGATAGTCCATTCTGATTGGTGCCGCGATTTGAAGCGCGCTAAAGCACGGCCATAGCTCGAGGTATCACGCCGCATTTGAAGGCGTTTTCAAAACAGCCAAGTTCCGTTATCGGAATAATCGTTTTGCATAGTTCATATTATTTTGTTTCCATTTCTAACCACTTCCTTCATTATAATCCTCCTATAGAAATTACCCATTTGCTATATACAATTCTAGCTGAAGCGCACTTCAGCTGTGCATTCACCATTGCAAAAATTTCAGAGGAAATCGACAAGCCCAACGTGCAAGGAGGCTTTCTCCATTTAAATCTTCCGTCGCATTCTTACGGCGCAAGGATACAACTATTTGAACTCTCCGGAATGCGTGAGGTATCACGCCGGATTTGAAGGCGTTTTCAAAACAGCCGAGTTCCGTTATCGGAATAATCGTTTTGCATAGTTCATATTACTTCGTTTCCATTTCTAACCACTTGCTTCATTATAATCCTCCTATAAAAACCACCCGTTTGCTAAATACAATTCTAGCTGAAGCGCACTTCAGCGCATTCATGACTGCAAAAATGTTAACGGAAATCGCATAGGCCAGCGTGCATGAAGGCAATTTCAATTGCAATCTTCCGTCGCATTTCTAAGGCGCAATGATACAACTATTTGAACTCTCCGGAATGCGTGAGGTATCACGCCACATTTGAAGGCGTTTTCAAATCAGCCAAGTTCCGATACCCGGATTGTCGTTTTGCATAGTCCATGTTCTTTTGTTTCCATTTCTAACCACAAGTTTATATTATCCTCCTATAGAAATTACCCCTTTGCTTTATACAATTCTAGCTGTAGCGCACTTCAGCTATGCATTCACCACTGCAAAAATGTCAAAGGAAATCGACAAGCCCAGCGTGCAAGAAGGCAGGCCCGCCACAAGGGGGGGGGGATACTGGGTCCCTGGTACCGGGGCCCGGGCCCCGGAGGGGGCCCGTGTTCCCGTGAAAAGCCACTACGAATTCACATGCAACCCTTGTTTCGTAAGAAAAAGTGAAAAATTTACCCTAAAAATTTCGCAAAACGTGAATAGATTTTCAAAAAGACGCTGGAGCACTGTAAAATTCTTCTTAAATTTTCAAAGAAGTATACCTCTTGGAAAATTTCTATCTATTTTCAAGATTTTCAGTATGGAGGGATATTTTTAGTAACTGCGTTTCATTTTCTTCCGTCGTCGTCAGATGCTAGTATCCAGTTTGGGCATCCTCGACTTCAATGGCTCATGGCTCAACTCCCTTGCCATAGACAAACGAAGGCGGAGTCCAGGGGGGCCTGGCCCTCATAGAACTGAAAATAGTATCATATGCCCCCCCCCAAAAAAAAAAAAATAAATACATTTTTTTTAGATGTTTTGAATGCAACAATTCGCAAGTATTTTGTACTGAAAGTATAAAAAAAAAACATAATTCTGCAGTTATTGATGGAAAAATTCCTCATGGAAACTTCGAAATTCGTCCGATTAGTTGTGTAAATTCTAAAATTTCTCGGGAGATGCCCCTCGGACCCCCCCCCCCTCCGTGCATGGGGCCCGGACCTTAAAACTGGTACCAGGGCCCGAGATGGGATGCGGCGGGCCTGTGAATACTGCACGCACTGCGTCAAACACGGCGCGGTCAGCAGCGGTCGGCGTGAAACGCATAGCGCCTACAAGACTGCATGAATACTTCACGCATTGCGTCAAACACAGTGCGTTCAGCAGCAATCGGCGTGAAACGCATAGCGCCTACAAGACTGTAGGATTACTTCACGCATTGCGCCGAACACAGTGCGTTCAGCGCGCGCGGTGGAAGTTAAAATTATTAAACCACATTTATGTTTGTTCTTTCATAATTTTTTCCTTCATTTTTTGTAAATGGAAGGCCTTGTCCACACAGATGGGTTTACGGAACTTAACTTTCGCGCAAAGTTCCGTAGACTTTTGCTACGAAGTGTTGACAGGGCTCTCGCAAAAAAATGTGTCCAACACGAGTAAACGCGTCTTATGCACCCCTCTCACTCCGGCACATTTACTTGATGGTTTTTATTGATGTTTCAAAACGAATGAGAAGGGGGCGGCAAAATACAGGCGGCCGATGGGCGGCAAGAAGGTAAATCCGGCCCTGCTAGGATGCAGTCAGAAATGAGAATTCGAGTAGTTTTTGATTGAAAAAATTATTGTCCTTGACCATTAGCACCATGGAGTGTGCTGATGTATAAAACATCCCCACACCAGTGCATAACTTTTTGACAAGTTACTCAAGTAGCCACTTTACTAGAGGGAGCTTCAGGACTCAAGCCCTAAATAACTGCCTGAGGGAGCAGGTTCGGTCCCAAAAAGTGCGAAGGATAAAAGAAAAAAAGAAAAAGAAAATACTTTTGCAGTCTGTTTTATTAACAATTCAATAAAATTTTTAAAGCAAGAGGGATGCAATACGATAATGAATTAGATCCTTGATAGGAATATAACAGTGATACAGGAGCAACTTACAATACAGAAATAATAACGAGGAGTGATTTAACTAGCCTTTACAGAGTGAGGCGAGGAAAAGAAAAGGGGGAATGACAGTTAACAGAAAAACAAATTACGAATCAGGTGCTGTATTACATGGCTTAAAACTCGCATCAGATAACTTGGCAGTTGTTTATTTCCGACTATCATGCACAGAATAAAAATTTAGCAGCATTCTTTCAGAGGAAGGAATTGGTTTCCGGTATCTGAGCACAGTGTCAGCACGGCATCCTATTCATTCTTAGTCAACCCACGATTGCTACTGGAAGGCAACAGTGCAGTCACTAGCAAACGGAAATTAAAGGACTGCTAACTTATTGGACACAAGCTCTATTAACCAACAGCACCACTTCCAGGGGCACATTATTTTGATTGCAGGTCTGTATTCTTATGAGGAATGGCAAGGGATGAAATGTGACCAAAAAAGGAGATAAAGAGGAAAATACAAACGCCCAGAGATTTCTTGTACGTCGGAGGAGAAGAAATTTTAAACATTAAATACCTTGATAATTTAGACAAAACTTCATCAAGATCAAATTTTAATGTTTCAAACATTATGAAATAACAAAGAAAACTTAGTGACATAACATGCAGGAGGAGAAGGTGAGGAAGGAAAGATGGCTCTCCGAGAGCATCATATCTATTTNTTTGGGGGGGGGGGGGGTTACCATACTGCTCAGTTTTTACAACTTCTTTGGCGAATATTTTCTTCGCTGTTGAACATAGGAAAATGAAGCAGATTGTGGTTTGGTGAGGCTGAACTTTTCCAGTTGGGATACAGCATTTTCCAAAAATTGTTACATCCATAAAATAGTCACTTTAAGAGAAGGAACTAACTATATAACTGTGAAATTTAAGAGACATTGATTATTCAGATGTTTCAAAAGTTATAGGTCCACTTTTCAACTTATCATAGAATTCGTTATAATGATAAATTTTAAAAAAGAAAGAACTGTGGTGCAAGTTCCATCAACAGGAAGAGTGTATGCAGAACTACCTCTTAATCAAAGTAAAACATTGTTCTTTCAGCAAAGAGAGGATAGAGGTATGTGCAGTCAAGTCTATCGAAGGCATCCACTTTTTATGCTACACCACTCAAAAATCTAGGTAATCAGGAATTACACTTTGATAGCCTTATACAGCCTTTATATGTACACATAAATATAATCTGGAATCAAATTAATTTCCACTTTCATCGAAACTTTCACTGCTGAAAATACCAGCTCACTACCCTACAACCCTGTTGGACACTAAGAGACATTACTTGTTAGTGTTGGAGAGGAGGGTCTGAATTTAGGTGCCTTACAATAAAGGGTTTGTAGTATATCACCCTAGACAGAAGTAATGAGAGGCATTGAGTTCATTGGGTTTTTGATATTGCTTGCTGGTGCAGCTAATCATATGGTATAAAATGCACTTGAGAAAAACCTATTGATAAAACACAGATTATTGCACTGAGTAAGCTAGATACTGTGAAGTGTTAAGCCAGTCACCTTGAGATATCCTGAAACCATAACTGGTAAAAAAGTTTAGGGAAATATTAGATTTCAATGAAAATTATTTCTTCTTAATTGTTTTAAGGGCGAAGAAAAAAGGTATCAAGGGTTTTATACAGCAGTTACACTAACTCATAAGTAGTTTGCAGTGTAGAAAAGTTATTTCTAATTAACCTTGGTTGTATTCAATTTGCGGAATTCTCGTTGAGAGTTTTTCCTCCTAAAATGTAATTACATTTTTAGTCTGTACCAGATCATCTGGGTTCTGTGTATGCGTAAAAATTATGTATACTTTCTGATATAAAAAGACTATGTACACATTGCTGAAGTCACGGATAAGTGACTTAAGAGCAGAATATTAAGAAAAAAGGAGAGAAAAAAACAATAGATAAAATGAAAGAAAGGATAGAGACAACTTGAAGCTATGTGAGCCCTGATGAATCACTCTTCGTAGATTAGAAATTTTCATGAGATAAAGAGGTCAAAAGTTTCCATGAGATAGCTATGCTCCTTCCAAAAGCAGTTAGCACCTCTTCTTTTGCTACTCTTTTTCGTTTCTACTTTAGAATAGGATGTAGCTCTACATAGGAAAAAAGACAGAAAAAAAAATTACAGGAGCAATGTCACACGTTTTTTGACAAATTGCATTGGATCAATCACTGCTAATTATAAATCATGTTAAAATGAACTTTAACAGTTGATTTGGAAACTCTTCAGTGGGAGTGTTTTCAAAATGAAATTTTGGCGTGGGGATGAGTGAAAAGTAGACACATAAAGAGTGGTTACATTATTCCGAAACCTTGTCTTCATAACTTTAAAAAAAACTCAACCTTCTTCTGTGTTTCTCTTCCTGCAAAGCTCAACAGCTAGCTGATGAGCCAACAATAGATTTTATCAACAACTCTGGCGGATGGTACTGAGTATGGAATTTTCTAGAGCCTGGCCACGCCCCCACTAAATTGAGGTGTGTTGTTCCAATGTCCTACTGATAGGTAGCGCTAGCAATAGCACACACTAAAAATGATCCACGATTTAATTACAAGACAACTGAATAATTCTGGCTGACTAAATACTATCAAATGACCATGTCCCTTCCCCACTCTGTTGACTCAAAGGAATCGTTAGGGTATTTGAATGGCATAATCATCCACGGCCACAAATATGGATTTTTAAGTGTCCTTAAAAACCCACCACCACTGGGGATTGAACGCAGAACCTCAGTGTTGGCAGCAAACTGCCTTAACTACTTCAATATCGAGACTGACTTATCGATAACATACAATCAGCATGGTATATTTTGTTACATTAAAAAGTAATTTAGTAATAAAAAAGAGGAATATTTCATGCAAATGTACACATACACGAGCAATGCTCCAAATTCTAATTGTTCAATATACATATACATATAAAAAAGGAACTTCAATATAGCTTAAGAGAGACGAAGTGTCAAGTGCTGAGGTTGTTTGAACAATTTATAGAGGTTTGCAAGAAAATAACTTCGGACCGTGACTTTTGAACATCACAGAAGCCCTTATAAAATTTCTGAATGCTATCAAACAAACTTCTCAGTAAAAAAGAAAATGATATTGATGAAAAACAGAGGAATGCAACATTAAAAATTGGGTATACTTAAGGAATTTTGAACTGTGAATAAACTTACATGTGTAATATTGAGTCAGTGCGTAGAAAGGAGGGAATCTTTTAGAGGTTTTTGTTAGAGTTTAGTTAGGGGGATCTTTAACAGTTTCATAAAGACAGAATTGGTGCTGTCAAGACTAATGTGTCGGTTGATAGGACCAACCGCGAGTATACTGTCAACACTAACCACAATGTTCAGTGAGGAAACGCAGCAACCAATTCAAGATACTCTTAACTTGGTCACTGAGTTGTTCAACAATGTGTATATAATTACGAGCTCATTATCAAGGAATCACTTGAGCATTTTTAGTCAATGTGGAGACATTTGGGGGGGGGGAGATTTGTTTTTCCATCATATTATATTACTCAAAATGACTAGTAAACCCAAGTTTCCAGCATAATATATTTGCAACTAAATACCAGCGCAAAACCATACAATCGTAGCAATCAAAATAAAAAGAGAGGGGTTGTTCTGCGGTTTCTGGTGAATTTAAATACATAATCGTTGGGTCTTCCCCGTACTAAATGCAAGATGTAGAGATAAATAGAAAATACAAACAGCAATGAATAAAAAGTGGAGATTACATTTACAGATGATTGAATGAAATACCTATCTCCTAATGGAACGGACTGACATTTAAAAGTTATGCTTTAAAAAATGTTGGAAATGTAATTTACAGTTTCTGCACTTAGGAGGGGATTTTCGATGTACAGATTTACAAAATTCTTCATTAATTGCAAAATTCAACAAATTAACACCGTAAAAATATCAGTGCATTTCAAATATTATAGCGTAACAAAAAATTGTAGCGAAGAACATATACCTACAAGTTATATTTCTACATATTTGATTATGATAGGCTGAATACTAATAGATTCATTACATTTTCATAGTTTAAGTGAAATGAGACGAAATTGTAGAGATTCACTCGATTTGACAGAAGTGAGATAGGCATAGGGTTCCAAAACTCGGATCTACAGATTAAATGAAATTCTGAATAAAACCTAGATCTCAGTAGACTTTTGACTAAATTGAAATTTCAAATTTTATCATTTTTTGTTTTCTGATTTCTTTCAGTGCCCTGAAGATTTGCAGCCTTGATTTTGAAATCTCAAAACTCATTAGTGATAAAGATTCATGAAATGCAGAGCTGTGTTACGTTGTAAAGTATGCATTCAGAGCATATAAAAGGTTCAGTGTGAAATCCAGGCTTAATTGGACTGAGTTAAGCAGAAAGGAACCAACCCACATTTTGGGAAAAACTGAGTTATGAGTGGTTTTGAACTTAACCACTGCTCTAATACCTATCGCCAAAAATTCAAAGTTTTTGTTGGAGCAAATTTTTCAGAAATTGAACTTGAAGTTTATCTTTTACATTGAGTCTTATTCAGGAGCCAAACTTTAAACCTCTTTTTCTCGGTTCGATCCAGATGTGGCTTGGTTCCTTTCTGTTTAACTCCGTCCAATTCAAAAGACAAGTAATTTTGATCTGAATAAGGTGCATCATTAATTTTGACAAAGTTACACTGACTTTCAAACTTTCCTAAAAGATACAACGATAGAAAATATTTTGATTTCTCTTTCGCCGTGGAGAGGAGGTGAGGTGCTCACTTCTTTATCTAAGTTGAAAAATAGTGGTGCAATAAAAATACATGAAAGGTGATAGTTACAATTCTGAAGTACTTGACAGCTTAACATGGAAGGTCAATGATGAAAGTGGAGAGACTATATTAATGCATTTGAGCAATGTAGAATAAAGTCATTAGTTTCCACTCCAGAGATTAGGAGGCGTGACCGTTGTTTCATAAAGTGTTTTTTTTTCTTTTTTTTTTTTTCTGAAAATATTTATGATTTGTATGCATTACAGTCAAACCCCATTTTTCAGCTCCTCAAAATTGTTACAAGTCGGACAGTGGTAGGAAAACCATTGCCAACTACAGACACCTACCTTATTTATTGAATTCAAAATTTAATTCTGACTGTTATGTCGTACTGTCAGTACTTGGCAATGTACATAATATCACTTAAAAATCAACTTTGAATGAAGAAAGAGTGACTTTTCAAATTGCACATTCATGAAACTCTCAACATTGCTATAAGAAATTCAAGAAATTCATTATTTCTAAAATCAGTTATTTTCTTTCCAGATTGAAATGAGTGAGAAAAATATTGGTAAAATAGACACAACCATCTTGGCTGTTATGCGCAACCCCCAATTTTCGTTGGAACTGTCTAATAGCTTATCATCAAATGTAACAAATGGTGTTTCTTCCGATACAACTGCTTCAACAGGGATTCTCCAGCCTCTAACCCTTGCACCTGCTGCATCACTGCCACCCTTGCAATGCCTCGGCACCTCCGTGATACCCAGACCCAACTTTTTATCTGACCTATCAAATCGCTTATCAACTATAACAGCACCAAATGGTATGCCTTTAAATACAACCCCTCAAACAGGGATTCTCAGACGACCAATCCTTCCACCTGCTGCACCACCGCCACCCTCAAAATACCTCAGCACCTCCCTGTTTGGGAAAAGGGGCCCCTCTTCCTCATTTCACCGTTTACAACTTGGTGATAAAAAAACCAAAAATGATCCTAGTCCTCGATCTTTTTTTCACCGTAATATACTTCTTCTCACTTCAAGTAACTCATTTCTTCCTATGAAGAAGTCTGATGAATCTATGTTCGGAAAGAGAAAATTATTTGTTGAAGGGGTGAGTTTCAATTAAAGTGACATTCATGAGAAAATTAAGCAAACCATCTATGATCAATTTCCAGCTTTAAATTGACAGGTCCATATTACTATACTGGTCAAAAGTTTTTTCCCCCCAATAAGACCTCGGTTTGACTATATTTATAATTCATTGTTTGTCTCAATCAACCTTAGTTCTGACCCTGGACCTATTTGTTACACCTGGGTTTGACGAAATGGCCCTGGTCAAACATAGGTTTGACTGTAAAACGGGGTTAGACTATAACAAATCTATTAATTTAACAGTCTTCTTTTTAATAATGAAGTCTTTTTCATTCTTGTGGCATTATTTACAGACATGTAGAGGCACGCAAACATTCAACAGAGAAAGGGTGGATTAATAATTAATACAAATCTAGAAGTAAATACACCTTGAGGTACAAAAAAGGATGGATCAAGAGTTTTGAAACTTTTCCTCTTTGCTATGTTGTAACATAATGCACAATTTTTCTAAAACTTTATCGGCACTATGAATACTTTTTTTTTCCATAAATTGAAATTTTTTCAAAAACCAATTTAAATTGATCAATTTAATAAACCGATTTAAATAACCAATTTTTCTCTCTGCGCTCCAATGTTAATTTAAAAGAGTTCCAGTATCTTAGGAACTAATTAGTAACTTTTACCTTTTGAAAAGAGGGAGATGGTGAACATTTGAAATAAAGCAGTTGACGCTTGGTATCTTTACCGAAAAATTCACAAAACACATTTCCTTAGCATATTATGGCAATTTCTACAGATCGGTGATCTGAGATCACTTGCAGTTTCAGCATTTATTTAAATCTCAACTTTGAAAATCTGAATTTTACTTAGTTTGAGATAAACTCTGGAGTGGAAACCTTGATTACAGACTACATAGCTAGGATTGATAGTCAGGAAATGGTACAAACTTCTTACAGGGGACATAAATCAACATTAGTATAAGTATACAGGGTACATAGTGCAGGAAGGGGTAAATATTCTCAAGATTCATCACAGACTTAAAAAAGGAAGTAAATAGAGACAGATAAGGGGAGGTCTATCTTAAGGGAACGTTGAATCTGATAAAGAAATTATTATAAAATAAAGAGACAAGAATAAAACCAAAAGAAAGGAAAATTTTAAGTATGGCAATTGACATATTCAATGATAATGACGTTCGAATGCTCAGAGACGGCAAACACTTTCAATATTTTTCCAAACAAAATGATTACTAGGATCAGACTTTCCGTTCATACCGATTAACTCAAAGTAGCATCAGTCATGAATTGAGCTTCAGTTCACTGACTGCAAGAAAAACTTCTGAGAAATTCATGCATTTTCGGCAAACACGGGCCACATGAAAATTATTTCCTTCACTTTCAGAGAACTAAATATAATCCTAGAACATGAGATTCAAAATTTAAAAGCAGATAAAATTAATTTTGCGAAGATACTCACAACTGATCGAAGACAAAAGGGCGTAGCACTTGTGAGTGAAAGCACAGAGGAGAATTAAAGCCACAATGGCACTGTGCGTTTGTGTGTATAAAAGAGCACTGAAATCCATGCACAGCAAATAGAACTTTGGTTTCAAGTTGTTCTATACATTTAAGTCTATTTAATATAATCTATTAGACTAATCATAGAGTCTTTGTTGCGCAACTCATCATGGAATTGCTGGTGGAAAACGTGAATTGTAAAATCCGCGTTATTTTTCGTATTTTTGCCAATGTAAAAGAATCAACTGTAAATATTTATCAGAAGCTATTTATTCAGTATTGCGGGACAAGTATGAGTCATCAAATTGCTCTTAAATAGTGGAGTCTCTTTTCGGAATCAGGCATCACAAACATTCGTATGGAGCCAATCTGTGAAAAAAAAGATGGTGTTTATTTGGTAATAGCTATTTCAAGCATTGTGCTCATCCTCAGATCAGTGCTTGATATGCTTAGGCTAGCTGTTGTATAATAAACATCACCAATTTCGTTGCAGATTAGCCCAACAAGAAAAAAAAGTTTTTTATGAAAACGAAACCGAAAAAATTAATAAACATTTCAATCAACTGTACAGACACCCACTTATGCTATATGAGCCGCTTCTGCAATTAGTGCTGTTAGCAACATTTTTGAAGAATGCTGGCGGTATTGACAAGTGACGAATTGTTTTGACTCAAAGTATTAAATTTGAACATTTCCGCATTCAAAGACTTTTACCAGAAAAGCTAAAATAGCAGAGATTGTGTTTCAAAGGACTTCTTGTTTAGTGGACCACACTTAACATACATCTGTGCTTTTTAAAACTCGTGTGGAAACAGGAATACACCCTTACGTTGGAGTGGCAACAATATTTTATATAAAAATTGATTTTCTTGCAAACTGCAATTCCACATTTGAAAAACTTGACCTTTTTGAAAATCTTTGGATAAAAGAGTCAAGTGCTTTTTACAGACTTGATTTTTCATTTTCAGTTCCTGACAAATGACCATGTTAATTTTTGGATGACCCTTGCATGTGTTGCTTCAGATTGGGGTGAGAACAAGCTTATCTAACAATGCTTGGTCCCCAAATGAAACACTTTAAAGCAAGCTTGAAAAATGGAATGAATGGTCAGTTCTGATGTTTTCATAGTCAAAAAGAGAGAGCAAAAGCTTGAGACCAATAAAAACAATAATAATACCTAACTTCTTCAAATTTAGCCTTTGGGAAACATGTGAGTTGCCATAATTTTGGTGGGTAAAAAGAAGCACCATGAGTTTTCAATAATTTGCATTCTAGTAGCACTTTTGGCCAAAGTCTTTTCACAGAGAGAGTTGAGGCACTTCAAAAGAGCTAAAATATTAAATAAGTAGAAAATTTACCTCTCACTTTGCTTCGGTGTAAAATAAGTGGTAAATTCTTTTCTACATCTTTATTTTGAAAACATCAAGTACCAAGCGTGTCATTTTAATAAACAAAATAGCTTCATACAAAACTTAAAGCGATTAAAGGTAGTTTGCATAAAAGAAAAGGTAGTAGCTTGCTTTGTGCATGGAGCAATTAAATATTTATGTAATATGAATTTATTTCTTTCCCTGTGCTGAAAGCAGTATCGATATGAAGCTCAGACATTGTTACTAGGTTAAAATCATGAGGTTTTGACCAAATTTTTTTCTTTTTTTGGCTGCTTATCTAATTTGAAAAGAAGAATGACAAAAACCTTTGCAGAGAATGAAATAAAATTAGCATCTCATAAAAAAAATTCAGCAATTGAGAAGACTGATCCTTCAGCAACTGCTAATTATAATCTTACTACTTAATGCCCTCAAATTGAATCAGAGTCTAACTCAATTTTTTTTAGACTCTGAAAGATGCCCATTTTGCTGAGTACAGCAGTACAAGCTCCTAGCAAAAATACAAACTCAAGAGATTCATGAAAACACATTTGCTGCAAATGCTTATCAGCAAAGCAGCAATTTTGGATTTTCAAGAACTCAATAAGTAAAAGATGAATGGATAGGTGAACAAAAAGAAGTAATCTTTGAATTTTGATTGAGGTTAAAGGAGTGAAACAAGAGGGTTTTTGGATCTGATGCACTGACTTGCGAATGCATGCAGAAAATCTGAGCACAAAAAATAAGGCAGGTGAAGCCTGCTGTAAGCCAGAATTTAGCTGCGCATCCCTTGCAAGCAAAGCAACAGGTGCTGAGGACGAGTAGAACTGCTTTGTATGAAGGTAGCATCTGCAAGACATCAGCGTTCCTCCTTCGATTTAGTCGATACCACAGCCTTTGTCAATAGTCAACCAAGACAGACAAATGCAGTAGGATACTAAGAAATAACCTGAATTGGCAAGTAAGCCAAAAACCGGAATGGGTAAAGTGAGCACTGTGCCGAACTTTGAGAGCCGTTTTCTCAATTTGAGAAAAAGTGAAATGCCCTTTTAGTTAAACACAGTGGTGCCAGCCAAGTTCGCCAGTTTTATCACCCAATGATCAGTCCTTGTGTCTGTGAAAAAAATGAGAGAACCATGCGCCTGGCTACACCTAGGCCAAGAAAAAATTATTTAAAGTCTCAACTCTCCCTATATAAACTTTGGTCCACTTAAACGACCACACTGGCCGCGAAAATGCCTTTCTGAGCGTAAATATACCTGAGAAAACTGGTGATTTTGTGTCATCACAATTGAGTGACAAAATAAGAGCTCTGGCTGCGTCAACAGGGTTTGAGCAAATTTTCTCCATCCATAGGATATTTAAATTGATTAACTAGCAATTGCGCAAAGTTTATCGGTACCTTACTAAAACAAAAGATCACCAATTGTCATTTAGGTTGTGCAAACACAGTCTAGGTACCTCTGCTCTTCTTGGATCCTAGCAAAGCAGTCTGCAGCATAATGAAACTGAAAAAGAAAAAAAACTTCAATCAATAGCTGTTTTAAGAAGAAGAAGAAGAAAAAAAACTTGGTTATTTTATTTTTAAGTTATGTAGGGAGCATGAACGATGCACTTAAATCCAACAGCTTCCGGCCCCATACAGAGAAAATTAAAACTTAAAATAGCTATATCTCAAAAAGGTGCTTATTGAATAGCAAACTTGGAATCATCATAACAGCTGTTCAGATTGACATTTTTAGAGGTTTTTGAGCCCAATTTTTAGAGATCATAAATTACTCCTCTGGGCAAAAGTACCAATAGTTTAGTTTTAAGTTACTTAAAAAGAAGATTCTCTTTCTTCTGGATCCTCACTAAGGACTATGCACATTACCAAGCCATTTAGCACCAGCTAAAGTTCGATATTATTTAATATAATGTTCCTTGAAACCTCCTGACGTGATGAGTTTATAAAATTGAACTTTCTATTGGACAATGTTGAGAAAAGCAAGATTGAAAAGTGAATTTTGTGACCTTCCCTTATACATTTTCTAGAGGAGATGTGGGACTATTGCTGTGTGTCTGTGTGTGGACACTACACTGCACGCTATCATTTTAAGAAATTTGATTCTTTTCTTACATTTTATCTTCCTAGCCAGGGAGCAGACAAAAGCTCTCCTTGATCACCAATCAAATGTTGCAATGTTGCTCCTGAAATGTTTCACTTAAAAATATTGAAAAATTCACTTTACAGCTCTGGTTTTCTTGAGATCGGTGCATGGAGAGTTCTTTGTGTTCAGGAGGTCTGAGAAACATCATATCAAATAGCATTGAAATTTTGCCGGAGTCACATTTTTTGGTAATATCTGCTTCCGCCCTTAGAAACCTTTCCTTTCGTTTGTAAGTGTACATAGTGTGGATTAAGCAGAAAACTGTTGATATAGGTACATATGTGCGAGAGACATGCATTGGTATACTGTTGTGCTAAGAAAGAGTGCTGGATGAGCCTTGGGACATTGCCAAACTTCCTACGCCAAATCATGGATTTCCGAGAAGATTTGAAAGTATTTTTTCACGAATTTGATCTTGAACACCTCAAATCAATGAAAAAAATATTCATGATTTTTCACGAAAATTAGTGTCTTTTGAGCATAAATATGTCAACATTCGATTGTTCATACAGCGTTTTTCCTTGGTCTGGCAGTACACCCCATGTAATGCTGATTACATTTTAGAAACAAAATGGGTAGTTTTTCCTTCAATTTTGTTGGTGTACATTTAGGGTTTCAAAAATGAAAGTTGATAAAAGATGAGCGATATAAGAGAGAACTTACATATGGCGTGTAAACTTTGACCCAGCGTAGACCCTTCGTCTTCCTTTCATACTGAAAAGAGAATGACATTGCTTCTTCATCCACTTCCCACGTTTGAACATCATTCCATGCTATTTCTACCACTTGATCCTTGAAAGAAAAATTATAAAATCAGTAAAAAATAAATATAAAAATGTATCTGATTTCTAGTGAAGTATTAATTAAAGAAGAGTACAGAAACTAAATTATCATGTATTGAGAAAACAAGAGAAAACCATACTCTTCAGAGGGAGTCATACAAAATTGGTCAGTGGTGAAGGTCGTTTGAATTGGTCTCAAATGAAAGTTTAAAATAAGGTAAGACTCTGGTGAAAACTTTGTGATGAGTAAATAAATCATCATGGAGATAGTGAAGCAAAAAGTTGCCACTTTCAATCTTGATTGAGGCATTGGGTGCAGAGAGGGCACTTTTGCGGAGCTGCCCTAAGAAAAAAGACAAAATGGTCCTAAAGGTTCACTAAATTATTCTGAAGTTCCATCTGCAACCAAAAAGGAAACTGGTTACTATTAGATTATCAATTAATGATATTTACCTCTTCTGTGCCATCTTCTTTGCAAGCTACTAATCGGAGGGCCTCAAAACCAATACAAATCATTACATGACCTTCTTTTCTTGAATCACAGCTACAATGAGGAAATACAACTTCGCCATATCCTGGTAATTGTCTTGCTAGTCGTAAATACTGAAAACAGATAAAAATATTATACAGGTTGACAATATGTAATTATCTTAGAGGAATCTGCAATTGAATTTCATGACTTTCACAGATTTCTATTAATTAGGCATATATAATCAAATAAAATTCATTACAATGGGCAAGACTTGGTTGCCATGCACAGAGCATGCTGTAAACAATGTTTTCTGAGGAATTAAAGTTTCTGCCGATGTTTCAGATCTTAAAATTCCTCATTTTTTTGGGTGGAATTAAAATGTATACCAACTTTTGAGGTCTGTAAATTTTAGAAAACAAACTTATAATTTCATATGACTGGACAAAACACTTTACTCTCTTGCTTCACAGAGAAAAAATGACCCAACTTCCGAACAGAATAAAATTAACAGGATGAAAGTAACTATGCCAGCGTATAGGGACCAGCGGCACTGACTTTCCCACTGGACCCTCGTTGGTTATTTGGCTAGTTCATTCTTGCTCAACTTTACTGCGATAAACATGAAAGGTTTGAAAAAAAATTCCTGTAAATAAAGCTTTTTTTCCGTGTTTTTACAATCCTTTTTACTCAGAGTAACATCTTGACCCTTCATTTGGCATACAAATAAAAAAAAACAGTTTAGGTAAAAAAAAAATATTACAGGCATCTTTCTTGCCACGCTGTGAATCAAGACCATGGTATAAGATAGGCATAGAGTCAAAAATAAAAATGTATACCCATCAACCTATTGATGAGAGGCCAAAACTTTGAATACTTTAACCTTTTGTAGGAAAGAACCCAGTTTTAAACAAAAATTTGCTCACTTCATGTTTCCTAGATGCATCCTGCAGGGCTTTTAACTGGTACAACTTATCATCAGCTTTGATATGACCTCTGTCCACTGAGTCGATAGTCATCCAAAAGATATACAAAGTCGCTAGGTCGTCTGCTGTGCAAAGGCTCAGTTCCACAGATGGAGAAAAGAGCCATCGTCTGATACAAAGACAGCTTGCACTTGCAGTGCTATAATTGCCGATGTAGAGCTGGTGTGGCATTTCTGTTGGTTTCAGTTTACGTTCTGAAAAATGTGTATAGAGAAATTTTATAACATAAACATGGCGTAAAAAGATGGAGAAAACTTTTTAGGTGAAGACTCGTGTGATTAAAGCCTCAAATTTAAATTCCTTGAGTTTGAATTCCGCACAGAAAACATGACTGATCATGGGGAAAAAACCTTAGAGTATAGAGGGAAATTTTGATTGTCACTTGGAGCCAAGAGATCTGATTTCTTTCTAGTTTCCCAAAGAATACTTTAGAGGCTTTGATTCAAGTTCACACCAACAGAGGACATCAAGCTGCATTATAATCTGACACTATACAGAATAGAATATGGTAGATTAAATCATTACTTAACTTTTTCTCAAAATTATGATTTTCTAGCACACACGTCCAGGGATGGATTTACGTTTTTGGCGCCCTGTGCAGATATTTTCGAGGCGCCCCCCTCGCACGTCCCTCCACCCCTGCCCGCGCATTTCCCAACCTGACGGTCTTCTTTGGTTACTACGTGCTAACTCTAAGTAACTAAATACAAATTTTTTGAGTGAGTGAATGATTCTGGGGCAAAAACCAAAACCAGGTACCTGTTACTGTTACTGTTAACTACGAAACTAAGAGAAAGTTTGACCCTTAAAGTCTAGGGTCAGGTCATTTAAAAGATGGAACGCAATACAATCAATCAACAATCAGAGTTTCTGAACTTTCGACGCAATTCTCAATTTTTGGAGTTTGAAAAAAAAACCCAAAATCTGGCGCCCTGTGCAGCTGCACCGATGCACCATAGGTAAATCCGGCCCTGCACACGTCATTTACTGTAATTCCGATAAGAATTGAGATTAATGGGCACTTTTCGTGCAAAAATGTACATGAAAGACTCCTCCAGAAATGGTACTGATGGATTAATTTTGAGTTGAGCAGGACTTTTGGTATCCTTTTCTATTAACAGTCACAATATGAATTGTTTGAGAGAATGACCAAATTCTGTGCCTTAAGTAGTTCTTGGTGAGAGGACATAGGAACATTTTGAGTATATCTTATAAATAACTATTTATTGTATCTATCGTTTAAGCTACCAAGTTATTTTTGCACCTCATTTATAGAATAGGATTGAAAAAACTATCCACTGGAATATCATCTTTGGCTTACTGACTTCGCAAATTTCTGATCAAGAGGGAAATATTTGGCCGAAAACCTAGAGCAAATTTCATTTTAACAATTCCAACGACAACAAAAGTTTGACAGAAAAGACTTACCAAAATTATATTCTACTATTTCGAATAGATAAAAATAACAAGCTGTGGTTTTGGACATCTCAATTTTATTGACAACCTGATTGTACACTTCTTCAGCATTGGAATTTTTCCTCACATTTACTACAATTACTTCCCTATCAGGTAAGAGTACTTTCAAATCCACTGGAATATTATTCCCCTGAAAAAAAGAAGATAATTCTCTCTGTTAATTAACGTTAAGTTCCTGGCAAAAAGAAGAGAGTGCGCTGGGAAGAGAGCATCTGCTCATCACCCATGATTGAAAAGCCAAAGAAAAACAAAAAATAATCACTTTTAAAATGAAGGAGCAGCAAATTTATGTCAGTCTTAGCAGTAAAAGTGTAAATCTGGCCTACTCTGCTTAACTAGTGAACCCAACATGTAGCATTGCAAATCACTGAGATTCATTGCAATCACATTATGTCCGAATTAAGACATTTTAGCATTAATTATATCTAAATTCCCAAACTGTAAATTGCTTATTTTTCTCGTCTACAGTGGTCTGCCCTTATTTTTCAGGTTGTATATTTATGCTGTTCTGTAGGACTAGCAAATAGCTCGTACTTGAGTTTTCTTATGCTCTGGCTACTACCCAGCAATATCAACTTAGGATTGTAGCAACCAGTATATACTGAAGAAAAAAAATGCACCCCTGAAAGATAGACTGAAAAAACTCACGAGATGATCATCAGAATCTGTGAGAAAGTCTTGCATGATGTCACTTTCTGCTATTACACGAACAGCGCAGACTTTTTCTAGGTACAATTCTAGTCCACGTCGTCTTGAGTCTAACTGCTGGTCACTTAACCTGGCAACAAAATTATGATTCATCAATAAGTAAAAATTTTTAAGGGTCTTTAAAATCTTTAAGTCACTAACAAAATGAGAGAGAAAATTAATGAATGTGTATTTTACTTATCTGGAACATGCATGGTCAAAAAGTTCATAGAAAAGCAAGACTACACCGTATTTGGGTTAAATAAGCGCAAAATCTATAGAATAAAGACGGATATATTGTGTTCACTTGTACACTTGTGAATTTATGATATCATTTAGTTTAACACTGTTATTGATTCTTTAATTCATGTAAATTTTTAATTTATCAGGTGGAGAAGCGAACAATATTTTTGACCTTCTTATTCTCTTCACCTCTTTTTTCTCAAACCTTTTGAAGTGAAACTGGGGTCTGCATGACCGATATGTAAGGAGTAACATCGAAGACTTAATCATACAAGGTTACCAGGTCAGAACTTACATGAAAGGCCATTTTCCAGGCATTTTTGGGAAATTGAAACCTACAAATTCTTTCTTTAAATTTGAGTGCAAATTAAAAAATTCTCGATATCTTCTTGAGCATAAATGACGACCTGCCATGTAGATGTTGAAAACCTGAAAATACAAGACAGAAATTAGTGAACTTTAGGTACTTTCACACTTTGCTTTCTTAAGTCGGAACTGGTAAAAAAAAGGGGTGTATTCTGTCTGTGAATCTAGAATAAAGAGCCAAGTAGCTTCGACCTCTAGACAAATATTCATGCTCTCGAATTAAAATATTTCCATTTTAATATTGATGGATTTCTGATTAAATAAAACGTAAAAATTATCACCGGACAGTTTTAACATTGTTGAGTGACATTGTCCATACATAGTTTTGAGAATTGAGCATTTTCAACCTTCATTGTAGACAATCTAAGGCAATGCGTCATGGATAAAATTAGTAGAAAACAGGTTCGATATGGCTGAGATAATGTGAAAGCGGTTCCAGCCAAGAAAGGAAAGAAGTATCTTAGTGCTGTATATAATAGCCTGATCAGCAGAGATTTTCAATCTACGTGCCACTCATGCGTATACCGATTCCAATTTTATTTTTTAAAATTTCTCTACCCTGAGGTGAGAATTTGCATTGGAGTGTGTGAGACATAGGTGCTGAGTTTAAAAATAAAAAGTTTGTAAAATTTGTTTTATTGGAAAAAGATATCTAATGAGACAACAAGGGTACAGCTTACTGTGTATCTCAATTCAAACTGACATAGGTAACTTTTAAATTTTTGACGAGGTGCAAAAACCAATTTTAATGAAGTTGCGTGATAATCTACAATCTACAAAATGAAGTTATTCTTTCGATTGGTGCTATGAGATGAGTTAATGGCTAACTTGGTTTTAAGAATGGAGCACCAGTATGGGCCCTTCTCTAATAGCATGGGAAATATGAAAAAGAAGATGGAAACTGCACTTACCACATATTTTTCTCCATTTTTTTCCAGGCAATGATAATCAGGTACAGAAATTGGTAGAGAGCGTTTTTCACTATAATCAATATAAGTATAACCAGAATGATCTTCTGAGGGTTCTAGTCTTTCAGCCTCCTATTACCAACAAGGAAAAGATGTTCAAATTATAGTTACAGAAAATTTTTTCCATTTATGCAGCTTAGCATTCACACATTGGAAGGTTTTCAATCTGAATCTGAATATTGTCACCCCTTCCCTTTTCCCACAGAATACCTGACATTAGGAATATGATTTGAAACACCCGAGAATTTAAATCCTCAGCGACTCTCATGCTTTGAAAACTCTCTTGTTTTCTCTTCGTTCTTGGATTGACACCTCTTCTGGGACCATGTTAGATCTCTTCTGTTTGTTAATCTTTTACCTGATTCTACCAAGTCATTGCGAACCAGCAAATTTTAAAAAATAAGGGTATGGTCTTAGAGAAGAGCAAAGAAAGTGTCAGTTTAAGGCACCAATGCCCGGATTTTTGAGGGTACTTATTGTACCCTAATGAATTCAAGTGTCTTCCCAGGTCCTAGGCTGGGCACTATACAGTAAATTATGGTGTCCTGGTTTTCTTTCATTCCACAAGTACCAATGCTCAAGATGGCCCTTAGGCACAACAGACTTATTCTTTCGGGGATTTCTTCAGTGGCCAGGTGGGACAGTTCTGCCAGGGGTGCATGGGTGAGGTTACAGTTGAAGAGTACCTCAAGGCCACCTACCAAGGGATATAATGCATGGGAGTCAAGTCACTCCCACTTGAAACTAGTTGCGCTTGTGTTTGAAACAAGTAAAATAGATGGCTGGGGTAAGTTTTAATTCCATAAAGAAAGATAATAGGTGCTAAGAGGTAATAACCTATTGAATTAGTTTTAGAGTACATAGGGTCGTAATGTAAATGGGAGAGCAGGCGCCATGTTCTGCTTGACGAGTTTCGAGCCAGGTGTGTGGGATGGGAATATGTATCGAAAAAGTGACCCGGCGTCATACAGGAGCCTCAGAATTCGGGACCAGGAAAATGCTTAAAAATGGCGCCAGCTCTCCCACTTACGTTACGACTCAAAGTACTGTACAGAATAAGTTTGAATTGGGCATTATGCAACCATAGCAAAAGTTTTGTAATGTTTTCATACTTTGAATCATTATACCATACTTCGTGATTACTAACCTGTGGTGTTACAGAGATGACTTTCAAAGTTAGAACATCTCCACCAGATTTTATCAGATCAACAACTTGCTTGTGAGTGGCTCCTTCCACGCTAACACCATTCCTGAAAAAGACAGAAAAATCAATATTAAATTTTTCCATTAGGTGGAACCATTAGCATTTCATTGTTTTTGGAAATTTGGTTACTACACAAAACTTTGATGAAAAAATTTGGGAGATCTGACTTCATTATTAGAAAACTTTCACAGATTGACAAACAACAAGTTGTAACAACTATAAGGTTCTGATTTTGAAGGAGTTGCATTGCAGATTGCGAAAGCAGGTCTCAAAAACCAAGAAGACAAAATAATAATATCCCAATTAAAGATATTTTTAGTAATTGAGCAACCAAAGATAATAAAATTTCGCAAGAATGATAATACTTTGCCAAATTTACTGTCTTTCATTTTTGATTTCATAAATGTCTTTAAACTCAACAATAAACCGAACAACCAAATGGATACAAAAACGTTCTCAATATTCTTCTTAATTCATAACTCTAGACTTTATAGTTACCTGAATGTTTCATTCTGCACGGAAAAATGATAAAAATTGTGATGTAGTTTTGCAAATGCATACATGATAGCCAGCAAAATTATTGATTCATAACAAGTAATATCAATTTCAAACAATTTTTGCTGAATTGAAAATGTGTGACTAGAATAAGTAGGATGAGCAAACACACTGATACTTTGACTTTGTCAAAATTAAAACCATGTATATTTTTGGACAGTAATCTTATCTTGCTGACCTATCTAAATCACTGTGTCAATACAGGTATCAAAATTAGAACTTTCACTTAGAATGTACATTCCTCTTTAGACCAAAGGTCAAGGTGAGATTCAAAACTGATTTTTCAAAGTGATTCTTCAGAGGGCAATTATATGAGTTAGGTAATATGAAAAATGGTTTGTCTATTTACTACAGTGGGTAATTTTTAAGGACTTGGAAGAGAAACCGCTAGCCTTTTCTTGTGAAGAAAACAACTAAACAACTGGCTTGGCATCAGTTGTTACCTATGTCAGTAATTGGCAATGCCTACACTTCTAAACCAGGGTCAACAATTCAACTGTGAAGAATGATAGGATTGTTAGGTACCAGACATATTGACAGAGATGTTTTGACAATGGTACCTGGGCATTAGTGGGAAAGTTCTGAAAAAAGGATAGCGCAGTTGATAACTATCCTATCTGCATGCATTATTCGACTGATTTCCCATTATCAATGCAAAAACTTGTAAATGTGATTAAGTAACTTAGGTGGCTGTAAAATTACTGCCTCCTTTCTAACAAGCAACATCCAGCGGCAGTTCACAGATGTGCCACTTAAGTAGTAGAAAATCATCTCACTAAAATCTAAGTCAGTGGAGTTGTCAATGAGAACTGTGCATGAAGTTTCCAAAGAGAATCCACACTTCACAAACTACACAGTCTGCGTGATAAAGGTGAATATCAAAATTTGTTCGGAAGGAAATTAGATCAACACCGTTAGCAACTCTGTCATTGAGAGATCACAAAATTAACACACAATTTTAAACAGTCTTGCTTGCCATGGCTAATTGTTAGGTTGGAGTGTTTTTTCGCGATAACACTGATTATTTGGGTCCAATTCCTTGAGGAGTTTTAGGGATCAAATTTTTTATGGCTGGTTACGGTATTACACCGAAGTTCAATAGAAGGTTTGATTGAGTGGGTTGAGTGAAAAAGGGGATTCAAGCTACGGGTGAGACGAAATGAAAGACTTACACTTCTAAAATCCTGTCACCGCGAATAATTCCAGCTTTTTCAGCCGCTCCACCTTCTAGAACGGCGCTGACATGCTGAAGGGGCGCGTACAGTTCACCTCCTATACTTCGGAGCTGACCACCCTCGCTCACTTGACCACGAACGTTGAAGCCGAACCCAGTTTCCGTTTTACGGATAGTAACTAATCGTGGTCCTTGCTTTTCTTCACTGATTCGCACTTTATTAAATCTCGAAATAGTGCCGACGTCGGCCATGATCGGTCGAGGAAACCCAGCGCGAATCACTAAATCACTGATGAGACTGCCATGAACAAGAACTGCCGTAATCAGTAATCACTTCACTTCGGGTAGACAAGACAAAACACCAAGAAACACAAACACGGAGGCAGCTCTGCCAGATTTACAACGATCTACTGTCGATAGGACAATTTGAAATAAGTGGAAAACTTCCTTCGCTCTTTGTAGGGTAACCTCGAGCTCTAGTGCTTATTGCCTCGCTGATCGCTTCTAGAGCTGATCGCACTCTAGGAGCGAGAAGCAAAGCAATAAGCACTGGAGTTCGAGGTTACCCTAGCTCTTTGTAGAGCTCTTTGCTGTATCACTTTTTTGTCGGGAACGTTGAGGAACTGACAATGAGATAACACCGGAACTTGGGTTGTTTACGAAAACACGAAAAATGTCGCTCGAATAAAGTGATATCGTCACGCCGACATCTTTTAGCAAAATCAAAAAAATTCACGAGCGCTGCACCTAATTTCTTGGAAATTTCAGGGATTAATTTCAATTATAATTGAAATATTTTGTAAAATTCCAAAAGATTCTGTGAATTCGTTTTTTCTGCTTATTCCGTAAAAATTCAGAGAAAAAATTGGACAAGTTTGGGAAATTTGGCAAATAAAATGTAAACAAGTCAACAATGCTTTGCCCCGAATTTACACCAACGATCAAGAAAACTTAGGTCATTTCAACAACAACAACAACGCAAACAAACAAAAGCTCACAAGCTTATCAAAGTATTCAAAGTTGACGAGGTATTACATTTTTCCTGCGAAACGGTACTACTGTGACAGTGGCAATTTTAAATGCTGAATTTAATAACCTAGTTGTAGAGCGTCATGGCAAATCCTGCTGTGGAAGTTATCGAAGAAGATGCCGCAGACCTGCAGTTTCCGAAAGGTTCGTCTTTCAGCATTCTTTCAGATTTAAGGATTTTAACTCAAGTGCGAACTTAAACAATTATGAAAAATTCACTGATTCTGTAGGAGTAAACTGTGCAACGTTCCTTCGATAACGCTTGTTTAGAATGACATAGTCTGCCTCAAGAGCTCACGCATTGTATGTTGAGACAAACGTCAATCTCTAATAAGCTCTGAATTAGCACCACTAAACAGGATGATGCATGCAGTCAGATGGCTTTACTGATGAATGTTGCCATTAACAATACTTTGACGTTCGGCTCAGTTTACGACGTGCAAGCTCTAACATGTGCAAAAGCTTCAGACTTAGAAGTACTTATCGACAATGAAACTCCCAAACCACGTTTCTTGTTTATGGTGTTCAAAAATCTCCGCTCCCATTTTATTGTTGAAAGGAGAATAAATCCACAGTATCCCTTTAAAGTTTTTCCAGGATTTGCTTTTTGCAGACAAGAACAGCATTCAAAAATATGAAGTACGACAGGAAGTCTGAAATGCTCCAAACCAAGATACGTGGCATGCATAGAGTACAATAGAGCCACAATGTACTGGAGTGCCGATGAAGTCAATCTATGAGCGGGCCATACCGAACCTCTTGTTTACCGGAAAGTGGGAACCGTTCGGCATTTTTTAACAAGGTGGCTGAAGGGAGAATCGCAGGCTGCGAGTGGTTTTGGCGATTTCTTCATTCAAATCAATCATTATTCCTGCGAATTTTGGCAAATTGTGTTCATTGAAGTCATAGCAAATTAAAATACGTACATCACTCCTGGTATTTGTGAAATAAATTTTATACCTGCATTTTCTAAGCAAAGACCAGAGCTTGGACCCCATGTATAAGTCATCGCCAGTCGCCGCACACTAGTCTTAGGAGTTCTGGACAAAACAGCCTCAAAAAGTGACTTCATCGGCGCTCCAGAACATTGCGACTCTATTGTGCTCTATGGTGGTATGAGAGTTTCACCTCTGATAAAGAGTATAGGTAAAAATACGCTTCTGAGGCATGGACAAAAATCAAAACTTCAGTGTCTTTGTACTTATGCCTGAGTTGGTGGATGAGTCCATGGATCAGGGCATCGCAATGGACTTTACACGAAATACCAAGCAATTCGTTGCCAGCTAAAGTTTTATATTATTTATTACAATGTTCCTAACATTCTTTTGATGAGGATGAGCTCTTAGAATCAAACTGTTCATTTGTCATCGTTGAGAAAAGCTGAGCTGAAAAAGGAATTTGTAAGCATTCTCTTGTGCGTCACAAATCACTCCATGGTACTAAATCTTTGCAACCATATTTTTAGTAACATTCTGATGAACCAGTTTCTTTTCAGGATGCAGATTATTTCTTTCTTTTCCAAATGATGATAAGTACTCGCGAAATTTTTGTGATTTTAACATTTTTCCTTTGAATTTCCAGAGTTTGAAAATGCAGAAACCCTGTTAATATCAGAAGTTCACATGTTATTGGAGCATAGGAAAGTACAGAATGAAAATCAGGAAGATGAACAAGAATTTTCCGATGTCTTTAACAAAACTTTGACCTACACAAACCGCTTTAGAAAATTTAAGAACACAGATGTCATTCACTCTGTCAGGAGGTAATTTTTAGTCCTTTTTTTCATACCACGGAAAAGTGTTTCCTTCTAGTAACCAATATCACTGATGGGCTTTTGGCCAAAGTCAGCAATACACTATTAAATATATCAGAAGCTGCATACCAAAATTTAACACTGAAGAAAAACATGGAAAAAGCCTCGAAAATATTATTGAAAAACCGGAAAAAGATGAAAGTGTCAGACAAGTACTTTGTCATTTTAATATCAGATTCAAGGATTTACACATTATTGGTACATGCATCATCATTGAGGCCAAGTCTACATGGTTGGTTGTCTAATGTGACAGCAGTTTAAAGAGAACCAAATCTCCTGGAGTGGTCTAATTAACTTGTCTTTTTAAAATCGTTGCAGATTCACCAGTTCTGTAACAAAAGAGTTTATGTTGGTCCTCTGTTTTTCAACTTTTTTTGTTTTTATTCATTAAAAATATCATAACTACTTACTACAAGATCTCTTTGCCTTGTTTGTATCTACTTGAATTAAATTTACATAAGTTTAAAAAAACCACAAAGTAACCATAAATAATAAGATAACTAGGTGATCTTCTTTCATAGCTAATAAGTTGCATTAGAACCTGCTGGAGGCTGAATGTAATACTTTCATAGTTTTTAAGGTGAATCCAGGCTTGGAACTTCGCGATTTGGTCACCACGTCGCGCTGCTCAAAATAGCCGCATATATTTGGGAAAATAATAAAAACCGTAATACTTATTCAAGATTGGAGATCCAGGGGATATAGCAACATACTTGAGGAACACTCAGTAAAATAATCTTCTCAAAATTCCCATAAATAAAGACTTAACTACGGCGGAAAGTAATCCCCATTGCGGCAATGGGAGAGAGAGAGACAGAACATGAGGGAACCTGTTGCTCGCATGGCTGCTGCCGCTGAGCTGAAAGTTTTAGCCGTACTTTCTATGCGCTGGTAATTCTAATTGCCAGTATTTTTGGCTCAAAAAATCAAGCAAACAATAATCTATATCTTGTGGATCTGCTTTTTGTAATCTGAACAATATTATTTCAGTAATCGTCGGAGGAAAGTGAAATTGTCAGAGGTGACTGGTGGCTCTATCTCTAATCTTAAATTATCCCTAATCGAACCCTGGATTCACCTTAAGGAAAGCCTTGATGGATAATCATTTTAGCACAGCCTTATACCTAAGTATGTACATTTTTTTACAGTGAACTGATAACAGAGAAGAAACTACAAATCACAGAAAGTACAATTTCCCTCCCCTTACATTTGGACCACAAAGCGGCCATTCTAATTTACAGTTTATCAAATCAAGCAGAGCTGATATTAGTTTAAAATGATGTGTCTAAAACTTTTTGTGGGTTCCAGCCTTTTACAGGTCAAGAAATTGCACAAATTTGAAGTAGCTGCTCTAGCCAATTTATGTCCTGAAACACCTGAAGAAGCGAAAGCCGTAATTCCAAGGTAAGGGTCAGTTAAATATCAGGAGCAAGTTCTTCCGTAGTGCATGCTGGCTAATCCAAAGCCTTTAAATTGAGAAGCCCATTGGTACAAAGAAAAAGCCACTCTTTGTGGGAAAATTTTTATTTTTTTCTTTTAAACAAAAAAAAAGTATGTATTTGTCTCCCGTTATTGATTCGAAATTTTGAGACTCCAATTTGCGGGTAAATCAACTCAGCAATTCAAAAAAGCTCGACCATAGTGCTTTGTAATCCAACAATATCGCTTGCTTTGTAATTCAAACTAGCAGAACTGGATACTATATTGTTTTAAAAGGTTTCGGTGGCTCAATTTTTTAAGATTAGTGAAATCAGGAAACGGAATGATTGAACTCTGGTTTGCATCGGCATGGATCCACATTAAAGTCAATTTTTTGCTCCTGAACACAAGTAGTACACTTCAGCCTTCATAGGCCAACGTGAAATGAAGAATCTCAGAGTGTTAAAGGGGAAATTGAATCCATTGAAATAGGTTTGTAAACTTATAAAGCAATTGACTATTCTCTTTCAAATTAGACAGCTTACTAATAATAGATCTCTTCACGTAGAATTTTCTTTGAAACTACTCTTTACAGTTCGAAATATTACTATTCCAAAACCTTTTGATTCAAAAACAATTCTTGACCCTTCCAATTTCAAATGAGCATGCACTATACTTACAATTTAGGACCTCAGAATAAAAATTTTATCATATAACTGGTGTATGTTTATTTCAAGGCATAGATGAGCTGGAGAGGGGCATTCTTAAATGCTAAAGGACTAGCTAGGGCTCATCAGTCTGAAAATTGAAACTTAAGAGTTCTGAGGATATGTTGTGGTGGTTACTTTAATTGGACGGAGTTAAACAGAAAGGAACCAAGCCACATCGGGATCGAACCGAGAAAAAGAGGTTTAAAATTTGGCTCCTGCATAAGACTCAATGTAAAAGATAAACTTCAAGTTCAATTTCTGCAAAATTTGCTCCAACAAAAGCTTTGAATTTTTGGCGATAGATAGTAGAGCAATGGTTGAGTTCAAAACCACTCATAACTCAATTTTTTCCAAAATGTGGGTTGGTTCCTTTCTGCTTAACTCAGTCCAATTGTCCTACAAACTTACTCTGTTGAAGCTTGTTTCCCTAATTCAAGTTCTCTTCTCAGGATTCCCTAGGGTTTTGCAGTGGACATTCTAGTTGTTGCTCCACTCTTTTAGGTAACAGTAATCGTCATCAGGGTTAAAATTTCTACTTCTGTTCTGCTGTTGAAAAAAACTGCTCAATACAATCTATATTTTTGAAATTTTGACGTTAAAGCCTGTTAGTGCAGTGAAGTATTCACAGGAAATCATAAAAAATTATATTACTCACTTACCTTTCTTTTTGAAGGTGAGGAAATTTTACAAAATTCCGTGTAACTCAGTTTCTTTTTGCTTGGACATTTCAAATTATCTTTGAAAAGTAATTAATCTCTTAGAAAACCTCATACCTAATTTCTCTGTTTTCTTTGCCACCTCTAGTTTGGAAGGTCGGTTTGAAGATGAAGAACTAAGGGTGATCCTGGATGACATCCAAACCAAAAGGAGTTTACAGTACTAAGAAAGTTAGTCTCCTCATCTTCTGGAGTTTTTTACTTTTTTTACCTCAATACTTTCCATGATGCGGCTGTAAAATTTTAATTTTTTATCTTAAAAATGTAGCTTCTAAGTTTCCTTTTTTTTTCTTCTGAATGTTATTAAATAAAGATTGGATTTTCAAAATACGGTTCCTTAGAGTTCTTCTTCGGCAGTAGGTTTGTTCCTCTTCATTGGCTTCGTCTTCTTCATTCAAATTAATGGTGATGCAGCCAACCTCCACTTCCGTAGGAGAATGCGATAATTCATTAGGTAGTGAAAATCACATTTTTTGAGCAATATGGTTTATACGTTTCTGGATCTAGGGTTTTGCAGTAATTAGTGTCATGACTGACAAATATACCTTTCTTTCTTTTTTTCTTGAGTTTTCTTAGTGGTCTCAAAAATTTTGTTGACACTACCAAAAATTCTTAGGTTCGATAAAGTTGATGTATTGTTGCAACCAAGTTCAGCTGGCGTTTAGATTATAACTTTGAAAGGACGTTGATTCCATAGATAGACTGATGTCAAACGAACTTGATCCCACAGTTCTCTTCTGTGACCTGAGTCGAATAGGAGTGTTTGTGATTTCTCTTTAAGATATTTGTTTAATCCCCCTGGCTTTCCATTAAACTGCAAAGTGTAGAGAACACTGTAGTCAGGCTGAATGCAACAGTAAAACTTGAATAAATCGATTTTTCCCCAGTTGAAGCTATGGTAAAGAATCAATCATTAAGGTGTTCGCTACAACACCCTGTTTATCGATCCTATTCCATGGGTTTAAGTGGCAGATCAATCGATATATGGCAAAGCACGTCATGCCACTGGCTAAATTCCTTTAGCCTGCTAGCTTTCCACCAAATTTTCTATCAATTTAAAAATTATCCTTTTTTTCCCTATTTTTTTGCTTGTCAGAATTAATCACTATATTAATGAATGCTTTAAAGCATTTAAATGTCTAAAAGTACATGTATTGAGTGAAATGCACATTAAATCGTTTCAAAAGTAGATACCTAATTAATGTGTGAATAGCGTTTTGCACTTTTTTATTGAATATTTATGGGTTCATAAATTCATAACCCTCAATAGTTGTAGTTAATGGGATCATTTTATAGTTGCATTTATTCAGGGCATCTACAGGAATTGCTCTGAAATGGTAAATTCCGAAAATATGGCAACTAAACGAAAACGAAAAAACCGCACACGTGGAAGATGAGGGGTGAATTGGGAAAGGTCCCGAAAATGTGGAAAGGCTAATGACGTTACGAAGAAAATTCCGCGAAAAGCTTAAGCAGGAGGGGAGGGGTGGATGGGAAAAAGGTCCTTAAAAATGCGGAAAGATTCCGCAAATCTGGGATGGCCCCGAGAATGTGGAAAAGCTTCGAAGTTGAAAGCAACAATTCATAAAGGAAATACGCAAAAATAGCGTAAAGAACGTTTGAATTAAGTGTACTTAATTCAAACGTAAATTCAAATACTTAAGGTTCTCCTTCAATTTCGCTGTATAGGCAACAAACATAACAGGGAACGCGAATAACGAACATACATTCAGCTCCGCTGCATGAACTTCGACGGATCCAATGAAGAGCGCGTAAAATTATTGGCAGATGTTGTCAACTTGATTTTCGCCTTCAATTTCGCCACATAGGCAATTAGCGCACCGGGGAGCGCGAATAGTTACCTATTCGGAAACCTCACATTTATCGAGCTCCATTAGATTCGAATGGTTTGATTAAGCAGGGCTGAATTTTGCTGGAAGCTTTTTATCTCCTCGGCAATGTTTAAGGGAATTGCAGTTGTAGGGTTAATATCAGCAACTAATGAACTTTTTCCCAGTGAATTATTCGTGCTTGAACTGCTGACTTAGGTAGACAAATTGGACGTTTTTCTATCAAACAGAACTAAGCGCCAATTTGAGTTCCTTTTGAGGAATTTAGAATCCCGGATAGCGCGTTCTGTCAAACGGACCTGAGCGCCATGGAAAAACATTATACATATAGGGCGGAATAAGCCGGACGCCCGATTCCGCCGCCAATCCAAGCCCCCCTCCACCTTCCCCACCCTATCCCGCTTAGGTCCGTTTGATAGAAATACGTCCAGTTGGACTACGTTTTGCAATTGAATTGGGACGTGCGAAAACAGCTAGTGTCCATTTTTCCAGTCTCCAGATTTTTTGACTTGATAATACTTTTAAAGAGTTGATACAACCATAAAAGTGATGAAAGGGCTTGTTTTGGGATTAAGGTAACCCGGAGACGAGTATCCACGCCAGTTTCGTGGTTGCATCCACTTCCGAAAAGTATTACCTAACAATCCAAAAAAACTGAAGACTGGAAAAATGGACATTAGCGGTTTTCGCACGTCCCGATTCAATTAGGAACCAGAATTTCTGGCTGATTTGTAATAAAACATATGTTTGTAGGGAAACTAGGTAATGATACATACGTTGTTTTTAAACTGAGCCAGAAATTTTAGTTCCTCATTGCAAAATAGTCCAATTATGAGTCATTTTTCGTTTATTTTTTCTTCCTCCAGTTTAATTATTTGTATATAAAGCCTCATGTTTAACCTGTGTTCCCTAGCAGTACTTTTCCAGTCTTCAATTCTGATTTTTAATTTTTACCTCACGCTCAGCGAGTGTACTTACCTGAATATAGGGCATTGCAGATGGAAAAAGGTCTCGAAGTGGGTCCTTTCAGGTAGGCGTCGCAGAAGACGTTCAGACAAAAGGTGGACAGATGGCATCCAAAAAGAAATAAAGGGATGCGAAATGCCAGCTTCCGGAAAATCTGTACACCTCGACAGATTCCAATGGCGGTTACCTAGGTGTCACAGAGCGCCCAGTTGGGCTACAAAAGCGTCTACCACATGAATGCATGTCATGCGCGACTGGCATCCATGTATTTATAGAAAGAAGCGATCTCTTGTACCAATGAGATCTATATATCCATCAGATCGATTCTCACGATTTTTTTTTCGAGTGTAGCGATGCGTCGGAGACAGGGCCGGATTAAGGGGGTGGCCACATGGGCCGCGGCCCATGCCGGCAAATTTAGGGGGCGGCAAATTTTGCAATTTTTTTTAAATGTAGGTATAAAAAAAATCTGATTTAGAAAAAAAAAAATTACAAACGAGAAAAGGCTACAAAATCTCTCATTTCCTGAGAGTATACCTAGTTATGTCTAATTTTGTCGTCTTTCAGTGATACAAGAGACAGCACCTTTAAAGTCGAGTTAAAAGAGGAACCAAACACACAATTTGGCCTGGAACGGCGCGACTTAGGGAGAAATGATGACGAGGACTTGAAATGAAAAGGAGTAGTCCTCGGCGCGGCAAGCGGCATGTAACACATATTAGCGCCTACAAGACTGCACGAACACTTCACGGATTGCATCAAACACAGTGCGGTTATTGTGGTCAGCGTGAAACGGATAGCGCCTACAAGAATGCATGAATACCTCACGCATTGCGCCAAACACAGTGCGGTCTGCGTGAAACGGATAGCGCCTACAAGACTGCGTGAAAACTTCACGCATTGTGCCAAACACGGTGCGGTCGGCGCGGCGCGGCGGCGGAAGTTAAAATCATTAAACCAAATTTTGTGTTTGTTCTTTCATAATTTTTCCGTTCATTTCTTATGAATGGAAGGCCTTGTTCATTAGAGATAGGTTTACGAAACTTGACTTTCGCGCAAAGTTCCGTGACCTTTTGCTAGTAGTGTTGACAGGGTTTTCCCAAAAAAATGTGTTCAACACGAGTAAACGTGTCTTACGCACCCCTCCCCTGCTGGCACGTTCACTTGATGGTTTTTATTGATGTTTCAAAACGAATGAGAAGGGGGCGGCAAAATACAGGCGGCCGATGGGCGGCAAGTTGGAAAATCCGGTCCTGGTCGGAGAATTTGCCAAAGATCAGATTCAAGTCTCTGAAAATCCTTGATTCTCTTTTAATATATATAAAAAAACTAAGAAAGGTTTTTTTTTTACTTATGAGCGCTGCAGTCCGGTTCTCTCTTTGTTGCCTTGCATCGGCATTCACTGCGTAGTGAATGGCGTATAGCTCCTTCCTCAGCTAGTCTACTCCCGTCGGCGTAGTAAAAATTCTCAGGTCGTCCCCGGACATTATTGTGGCCTCGTGAAACCCACTTGCGGCTCACATTTTCACCCGAGTCTATTCTTTAAGGAGAGATTTCTCATTGGCTGTAAAAAATTTTAGTGACTATGTTTATGAAGGTTGTTTGAAAACACAAATATTTAACTAAACAAAGGAAAACTTTTTAGAAGAGACATCCCAGCACTTGATTTTTGTTAACGTCTTACCTAGGATTCTATGCGAGAACTTTAGGCAGACTTCTTGTTAATACTTTATAATTATGATTCATTTTTTTATGAACTCAGCCCACTCTCCGATTTTCGTCCACTTTTCAGATTCGATGATCCTGAAGCAATCTGTGAAGTAGGTATAAGACATATTTTCTACAAGGTTTGGGTTCTGAGCTGCACCGCGCTCTAAATTAACCGCGTTGACTGATTTGCATTTCAGACTGGCCCAGGGTCGAATTTACCTACTTGCCGCCCCCTCTCATTCGTTTTGAAACATCGATAAAAACCATCAAGTGAACGTGCCGGAGGAGGAGGGGTGCATAAGGTATGTTTACTCGTGTTTGGCACATTTTTTGTGAAAGCCCTGCCAACTCTAGCGAAAGAAAAAAATTAAACACTAAAAAGTGGCCCGAAACTGTATGTAACAAGGTGGATAAATGGTGCTGGGTCCACACCATTTAAATGGTGTGGACCTAAATGGTGTGGACCCAGCACCATTTCTCCACCTTGTTACTCTAGCAAAATTTCACTGAACTTTGCGCGAAAGTTAAGTTCCGTAAACCTTTCTCTGTGTGGACAAGGCCTTTCATTTATGAGAAATGAACAAAAACATTATGAAATAATTAACATGAATGTGGTTAAATAATTTTAATTTCCGCCACCACGCCGACCGCACTGTGTTTGACGCAATGCGTGAAGTATCCCTACAGTCGTGTAGGCGCTATGCATTTTACGCAATGCGTGAAGTATTCATGCAGTCTTGTAGGCGCTACTATGTGTTACATGCCGACCGCTGCGCCGAGGGTTTCTCCTTTTCATCTGAGTCTTCGTCATCATTGCTCTCGGCGCCGCGACGCTCCAGGCCAAATTGCGTGTTTGGTTTCTCTCTCAACTAAACTAATGAAAGGTGCTGTCTCTTGTATAACTGGAAGTCAAACAAATTTGAAATTACTAAACGTTAACTCTCAGGAAATGAGAGATTTTGTCGCCTTTTCTCATTTGTATTTTTTTTTCTGAATCCGATTTTTTTTTGATACCTACATTTGAAAACATTGCAAAATTTGCCGCCGTGGGCCGCGGCCCATGTGACCACCCCCTAAATCCGGCCCTGGACTGGACTCCCCCCTAACTCTTCAGCGAAAGAATACAAATTTTTTGAGATGCATGCTCGATTTTTTCCTAAAGTGACCATGGAATACGACTTAGCCACATTCGTCGTTCTTAGATCAAAGAGGGCATGAACCGCAGCCCACATTTTAGGACGGCAGCGTTCTTATAAATTTCAACAATCAAAGCATTACTTATTCGAAAAATAGTCAATGTCACGAAAAAAATCAGTAATAATTTCCCTCTTCGGCACAATAGGCAAAGCTGGAATTGTGTCACGGTGCAAGAAAAACAAGCAGAGTTTCAGTTAGTGTCGCATTCGATAAACTAGTCACATTTTAACACCTGGATTCAACTATGTGAGCTCCACGGATGTCCGTGTTGCATACACGCGGAAAAGAAGGCGTTTTGACGGTGGCAAAACCAATTTTGACGTTTAAATGCGAAATTTTCTAAGTACAATCCTGATGAATTGCACAGAATTCGGAACATAAACGATGACCATTGGTCTTTCGACAAAATGAAATGCGACAGGAAATCTGAAGCATCACAAGCCTAAATACACGTATATGATTTCCTAGACGCGACAGCGACTGTTTAGAACAACAATGAATTCTGCTACTTATCAGGGCCGGATTTAGGGGTTTTTTGGGGGGCCGTGGCCCATGGCGGCAAATTCAGGGGACGGAAAATTTTACAATTTTTTTAAATGTAGCTATAAAGAAAAATCGGATTCAGAAAAAAAATTACAAACGAGAAAAGGTGACAAAATCTCTCATTTCCTGAGAGTATATCTCTATAATTTGCTGTCTTTCTGTGATAAAATAGACAGCACCTTTAATTAGTCAAGTTAAGACTAAGAGAGAAACCGAACATGAAACTTTGCCTGGAACGGCGCGGCACAGAGAGCAATAATGACGAGAATTTGAGATGAAAAGGAGAAAACCTCGGCGCGGCGGTCGGCATGTAACACATATTAGCGCCTACAGGACTGCACAAATACTTCACGCATTGCGTCAAAGACAGTGCGTGCAGTAGCGGTCGGCGTGAAACGCATAGCGCCTACAAGACTGTAGGAATACTTCACGCACTACGCCAAACGCAGTGCGACCAGCGCGGCGGCGGAAGTTAAAATTATTCAACCACATTTATGTTTGTTCTTTCATAAGTTTTTCGTTCATTTCACATGAATGAAACAAGAGATAGGTTTAATTGGACCGAGTTTAACAGAAAGGAACCAAGCCACATCAGCTGTTGCCAAAATTAACTGGGCAATTCAATTTTTTATGAAAGAACGTTTGTGCGGATTTCTGTGAAAATGACAGGGAATTTGCTTTGTACTATGGAGAAAATTCACTGAAATTTGCACGAAAATCCGCACTACCGTTTTCGTGTAAATAATTGAATTGTTCAATTAAATTTGGCAATAGCTGATGTGGCTTGGTTCCTTTCTGTTTAACTCGGTCCAATTATGGAATTTAACTTTCTTGCAAAGTTCCGTGAACTTTTGCTAGAAATGTTGACAAGGCTTTCGCAAAAAATGTATCCAAAACGAGTAAACGCATCTTATGCACTCCTCCCCCTCCGGCATGTTCACTTGATGATTTTTATGGATGTTTCAACACGAATGAGAAGGGGGCGGAAAAATACAGGCGGCCCATGGGCGGCAAGTAAGTAAATCCGGCCCCGCTACTTATTTAGGTGAAAAATTATATTATGACCTGCTCTCTCTCCTGAAATGTGGACAAGGTCTGGTACTTCCTTAATTTAAGTGCCTTAATTTCCTGACTGAACTGAATTCTGCCATCCTCCCTCTTGAAGTTGCATTCTAAGTATAATTTTGAATCGCACTCTAAGTGGCAATTTTTCCAATCTAACGAAGCGTTTTCTTTCATGAATTACGATTTTTTTTATCCAATATGACCATTTAAATGTAAACATGTAGAGGGAATATCCGCAGGCCTGGGGGAACGATAAAACTTGTGAATGCTCTCACTTTCAATTTCATATTTAGTAACAAAGGGACGGAAAATACTGAAAATACATATCTACATTGTACGTCGGCAATCACATAACTCGGTTTGCGACGTCGGAGACTTCCTGTCATACTTTATTTTCTAAACAGAAAACTACTCAACGGCAATTCTTCAAAATTGCCGTGATTTTTCTCCTCTGTGCGAGGAAAATTCTTCAAAAACTTCAAGGAATGATGTCAATCTGTTCTTCTTTAAAAAAATACCATAGAGGCGGAGATTTTCAGACAGATAACGAGATGTAAACGAGATATGTGATTGCGGGCTTACGCCGTCGATATAATAAACATACCATAGTGTAGATCCTACATTTTTAAAAAAAATCGAGGGTCCCTCTTTTGTGCCTTCCCTTCAAATAGCCGGAATCAATATTGTTGTGGGGGGGAATCTTGCACAAATGAAGAACACAATGAATATATGAACAATGAACAATGAATATATATATATATATATTCTCTCAAGCAACACTCACAGGGGCCGACCGGATCATAATCTGGGAATCTATTCCTCGAGACTGATCTATCTCTATAACTAATAAACACACTCACGGGGGCTGACCGGACCATCTGGGAATCTATTCCTCGAGACTGATCTCGCCCATGTGATCACCGAATCTTTTTATGTCAAAACGTGTGCACTTCCGCGACACTGAAGCTTCACGTTTAGACATAAACAAGCGCTAACTTCCGACGGACCTATCTCTATCGCTGGCCATGGAAATCCGTGAATTCTCACGAAAAGCCATGACGCAAAGCACGCCTCATCTATGGAGCCGAATGCGGGGAACTTAAGCCTGTAAAGACTTAAGCGTTCCCACAACAATATCGCACCTTTGAAACCAAATTCATAAATTCGGCACTTTCCAAGCTCATCGGAAACGAATTGGTTCCGTCCATAGACTACATACAAAGGCACTAAGTGTATAGTTGCCACCTTTACGCGTGAGGATGTCGCGCAGAAGGGAAAAGCGGATACTAGGAGCGCGCGGAGCCGGGGTCATCGGTCACCTGACCATCTCCTATAATTTTCCACGAGACTCGTCCATTGTCCTCGGCCATCGCGTCGGACCAGTCGGCCAATAACGTCGACTTGGGTCAATTCTCTCGCCGCGGTGGATCTCCGCCGATCCGACCCGATCCGATCCGACCCGACGGCAACGGGTCGTGACGAAAGCGCACCAGAGTGGGGGCACGCGGCCCAGAGCAGTGGCGTCTAGACTCTAAACATGCGCTCCCTCGATCCCCCTCCCCCCCCTTCCCGGCCCGGGGGCCCTGGGATAGTGGCTCCCCACCAACCCTGGAGCGGCGCGCGGTGCGGCGCAAAGCGCAACAGCCAGAAGTTGCCGACATGAGCCGCTCAGTGTTGTTTCCGCGCTCGCCGACCCACGACCGGCCCGACGTCCTGCCGCTCCTGTCACGCCCGCTACCCCCGGAGCGTCACCCTCGTCAGCAACGACGTCAGCTCGAGACTCGTTGAGTGATTTTCTCCCGTCTTCGGACCCTCTCGCAAACCCCTTGTCACCGATAGTGGCCAACCCCTCGCGTTAGCGCATTTGTCGAGTGATTTTCTGGCTTCCCAAAAAACTGTTGAACAGAGCCTTTTTTCGCGATTTGTTATTCAAAGCGAATGAAGCAGTAACCTGTACATTCCATTGATTGACACCCGCGCTCCTCTTCTTGCGTCTTCCGGAATCGGGAGGGTTGTGACAGAATTTATCGAAGGACTCCAACGGTCGCGTTCTCGTTTCGAATTTTGAACGTTCGATTGGTTCAGTGACTGTGTGGAAACTTTCCTCATCGCACGCTTCTGGAGTGGTGTTCCAAGTTGTTGGGCCGCGAGTGCGACTGTTAAAAGTTGATGCGTTTATCCTGTCCTCGCTCTCGGACGAGTGATGTCCGATTCGTCTCGGACAAAGGCGATGCGTTAGAATGACCTATCCGAGTGGAGAATCGATCGAATATAACTTGGTTAAAGCGCGGGCTTCGTGCTGAATTGCATTGCTCTCCGGCCGAAAGTGAAGAAAGTAATTCAAGTGCGGCCCCTAGATATTCCTCTTATCTAAGCCTTTGTTGTTCAAGTACGAACGGAGTTGCGAGACTCGACGCAGCTTTCGGTTTTGAGGTTGTCTTCTCTCTCTCTTTCCTGTCGGTTTCTCAAAGTCATTTTGTTTTATTGAGAGTGCACAGTTGTGGATACAAGGTGTGACGTCGTAATTGGTCGGAGTAAGGAGGTTGCGCACAGGCGGGTGACTTGCTCTGAGGAAATCCAGAATAGGTATGTAACAAGACGATTTTATAATTTGCTCACGTGTCTGAGAACGGCCGCGCGGGGTGAACGGACTTCGAGCCGCGCAGACCCGTGACTTTTGTACTTGTTAGCCGCGCTTCCGATCATCTCGACCGGCACAGGCGTAGCTAGATCATTTTCCTGTGGGGGGGGGGGGGGGGTGGCCTCGCAGAAAAATCACTCTCAACCCTAACCTTACTCACGGGGGAAGGGGGTCTAAAGAATATACGAGACCTTCTCGTGCGAGGAGAAAATCAAGGGGGCTTCCTCCAACTTTTTGAAAAACTGTCTGGCTTTTAGAGGAAATTTGTGGCTACCTTCACACAAATCTTCATTACAAATGCTTTGGATTTTGTGTTACATTAAATTCCCCCTTCTATTCTTCTCATTTTGCTTTGCGCAGCACTGGTATTCAGGATCATATATGTAGTCCAAATTTTCTGACGATGAAGGCCAAACGGTACTTTTTCAAATTCTAAGAGTGGCGAAACAACCCCCCTTCCCCTCCGTCGTGCCACTTAATAGCTGCACCTATGTCAACCGAGCTCTCCAAATTAAGCAAATCAATGAATCATTAGGCACTGTAAGATTACAGAACCAGCTCTATACATGTTCCTTCGTCAAATTTCAACGAAAAACTAGCTGGATATCTCGAAAACTGCTACAATCAACAAGTAGCAGAGGAATTACCGTCGGTAGATAACAACAGAATTAGTAGTCCAATCAGACCTCTGGCTCGCCAAATAACCGAAATCAACGTCGGTTAAAATACTTAATGTGAACCCCTGAAAATGTGAAAATATGGGAACCCCTCTATAACCAATAATTCTTAAAATTGAGGATACCGGTTGTAAGTCTACTATTTTCTATTTTCTAACTGGCTGGCATTTTGAAAACCGTTTAAATTTTGGTCATTTAAGTGGTTCTTACTTGAAATTAGATGAAATTGCAATTGTTTACAATGTAGCATTTTTCTCGATGAAAGATGTACCGTTGTACCCACCACAGGGTTATCATTATGAAACCCCAAGCTGTCAATATTTCCTTCCAATGATTTTTAAACCTTTATTTTTATTTCCAGCAATCTAAATTGAGATGGTTCACAACCCAGAATTTTCTTCGATGTAAGATGTAACAGGGTTATGAAAATGATACCCCAAATAATTGTCAATATTACCTTTTTATGGTTTTTTAAACCTCTATTTTTATTTCCAACAATCCAAAAACGTAATTATTTTCATCCAAATGAAAGTAGAGTTAAAACTTTGAGATTTTATTATCTACTGGGGGGCCACGGGCCACGCCCCCTGACCGCTTCGCGATCCAACCCCTGAGGCGCGCGCCTCGGACGCTATGCGTTACGCGTTATCCTCATGACTCTATATCATAGAGTAGGATTTAGTCTCTCTAGGGCGTTACGAGGCAAGGCCTTGTCAAAGGTACTGCCTAGCACTACTCTCCCTCTTGTCCGACTAACAGATAGTATGGTTTAGGGTTGTATTGTATGTATTGTTGTAGGGTTGTATTGTATTGTATTGTAATGCGGCCGCAAGGAACGTTTCCACATTTTATAAAGTTGACAAAAAAGAAACAGAAAAACAAACAAATACAGAAACTGCAAATTGCTTGTAAAATAGTAATTAAAATTACACCGGTTTCTTGTCAAATGTATCAACGGTTTATGCAGAAACTTTTTTTAATCATGTATGCGTTGAATAACGTTCCCTCCTGGAGTTCATGCCCGTGTTTATAAGGCTGACATAGGAGTTGTGTGGGGGTTGGGAAAAAGGGGAAGGAGTTTCTTTCAATTGTACAAAGCTATTCTAGAGATGCCTTAGATCTCCTAACACGCTGTCAACATTTATTCAGAAACTTTAAGAGCTTGAGTTTATTTAATCAATGATGCAGGCCGACTACTCCCATTTATTCGGCGAGGAAATATGGAAAGGTTCTTAAAATGTGGAAAACCCGTTTATCCATTTACGTGCGGAAGGGCTTTTGTAGCCTTTTCCCAAGTCGAAATGATTGATTCATCAGGAATGGAAACAAGAAACTAGACTTGTCCGGTCAGAGTTGACGGACTAACGCTTCCAGAAAAATTTGAAATTTCCCGCGAATCTCGTCGTTCCGACGGACCAAGGCGATGCGCGGTGCATCCTTTTCTTATTCATTCAGAATGATCAAGGGGAAAAAAGAGCAAGGTAAGGGAGTTGTTGGATGAAATGGGCATTTCCAATTAATTGTGATACCCCAATTAATCGTGGTAATACCTATCCCATATCGATGGTGAAACTACCAAACCACGTATCTCGTTTGCGGTGTCTAAAAATCTCCGGTCTCATTTTATTTTTCTGGAGGAGAACAATTCAATATCATTCCTTGAAGTTTTTACAGAATTTTCTTCGCACGGAGAAGAAAAATCACGGAAGTTTTCAAGAATTGACGTTGAGTACTTTCTCATTTAAAAATTAAAGTATGGCAGGAAGTCTGCGACGTCGCAAACCGAGATACGTGGTTTGGTAGTTTCACCGTCGATATGTTACTGTGCTACCACAACTGATGGGAAATGTCCATATCATCCAACAAATTGGGACATGCAGTACCTCAATTCTAGGGCATAACATGTAACACTTTTTTCCGTGATTTCAGTAAGTAAAATGACACAGAAAATGCAGAAATGAACGTATGTAGTCGTCTTGAGCTCAACTCCGTCACCTACAGATTTTATCTCCACCTGTTTTTTTCTGATATTGTGATGGGGTCCGGCAAAAGAGTTTTTCAAGTAAAACATCAATCAAATGAGATAAAACTATGTCACAAATCAACTTGAGGGGTCAATTTTGCATCACACGGTGCTGAAAAAAACACCCAAATATCTAAACAATTGGAGCGCATTTCTAAGTTAATGAAGAATAAATTATGCGAATCTAAGAGAAACACTGATGAAGTTTGCTTGCGATGTTGTCAGCCTCCGAAACGATTCATTTCAACACTTGAATCATCAGCAGTTATGAATTCAAATTTTGACCCAATGCTCTTAATAACCGTAATTTGTTCCGGCTGTCAATTAATGATAATTGCAGTATTTTTTTTTGAGGAATCAGCCAGTGCTTCCTAAGCAGTGAGCATGGATTTATTTACCATGCTAGCGAGAAACTCATTTGAGGAAAGTTCGGTCTCGGCAAAGAAATAAGTTTCTAGATCGCATGGTAAATAAATCCATGCTTGAAAACACTGGCTGATTCCCCCAAAAAATACTGCAATTATTGCCCTTAGTAACACTGAATAATTTCTAGCACTGTAAATTGGAATTGGGTATTTTTGATCCCGTAAATCGGTTTGTTTTGATGCACTGAAAAATTTCGAGTTTCCCTTTCAAGATTTCTTTTTCGGAGCCCATTCCTATAATTTGTTTGAAGTCGAAGCTCGATCGCCATCGGTAAGTGTTAAGACACTCGTGCATCACTAATTTTGTTTGTTTGTTTTTTTAACCTCAAATTATCGTTCTTAGCTGTGCAAACATCTGATTATATTCATAACCATTGATAAATCGCTCTCAGAAATAACCCCCCCTCTCACCATGACACCCTGACCGGAAGGGCAGGATTTATAGTCCTCTACGTGGATTGGTAATGAGGCTTTACTGCATTGGAAAAAAAAAACACATTGGATCCAGAGTCCAGACTTTTAAAAACATCGACAAGAAAAAATACTCTTGACTCAATCGGATTTTTGCTTAAATCAAGAACCAAGCCTCTCAATTTGAGCGGATTTCCTTTTGATTTAAGTAAAAATCTGATTGAATCAAGAGTCCATTTTCTTGTTAATGTTTCCAAGAGTCTGGACTCTAGATCCAATGTGTTTTTTTTTCAGTGATGGATTGGTAATGAGGCTTTACTGCCGTGCCAAGGAAAAACGCAGTATGATCCTTCAGGCGTTGCCAGATTCTTCTCAATAAAAATCGAATTTACTGAACAATTTTGGAATGTTTTGCTTCAAAATTTTCTGACGATTTTGTTCGCAATTCGATCTACATTAAAATACCTGAAAATTTCAAGGAAAAATATGAATAACTCTCCTTAAAAATACATGATTAAAAAGGGGAAATTTGGCAACTATCAAATGTTCTTACGGCGTTTTTCCTTAGATCGGAGCCGGGCCGGACAATCGGCTCGTTTGATTAAGCTGCATCGAGCTTTTATTGATGCGGTCACAATGGGCCAAGACACGAAAGCTGAGTGGGAAAAAAAAACCTAAACTTAAAGCTGTACTTAGTGCGAGATAAAACACACTTTGATAAAGCTTATTTAACCGAACCGGAATAGACTGGCGGAGTGGTCACGGGTCTCTTTTCGGCTACTTATAGTAATTCTCATTTCAAACTCACACCTACTTACCTTATCCTATCACAATCAAACTCATGATGAACCGTTTATCCTCAGTCCGTATTTTCATCGAGTCTCTCTTTACTGTTGCTTTTTTCTGCGACTCATTTGCGCAGGCCTTCCTCATTATAATTTCCTCTTTTTCACCCATCCCTATCCATTCCGCTTTCTCTCGCAGCTTTCTGTTTTGCTAAGTTTATTTTCATTTCGACGTGCTGAATGCGTTTTGATGACGCACAAGAGGCGTCGCGTTTCGTTCCCAAGAAAGGTAAAGGTATTTTACGTTGCCTGCCTAATAAGATTAGTTTTTTTATAGTTTCAGCCAGGAAAAAATATCTTAAGTCCGCAATCGTTGTAGGCAAACAATTTAACTAACTGAGTCAGTAGGCTGCTTTCGAAAATTAAGTAATACTTTTTCATAACGGCACTGAGTACTCGTCATGCTGATGACTCACAATCAGCCCGTATTAAACATGTCGGACAGTTAGCTGGGTTTTGGTAATGTTTGCAAAACCACACCCCATATATGTGATTAATTAATCTTTCAGTACAAATTGGCCGCTATACGTTTTATATTATGCATCAGTAGATGAGATAAAAACC